TCAATGACTTTCCGGTGTGGACTGTACATAATTGTATTACTGTAACAACATATTGAACATCTCTTTAGTCTCCCTGACTTCCGACCAATCAAGCTGTTTTCTGCCCGGCGCTCAAATGATACAATACTACAAGATTTGGGTCGCCGTTGCAGGATTAGACATGATAATCCATGCTAATCCAATCTATGGGAGAACTGAGCGTGTCACTACTCCGACGGACACCATGCCTCAGTGTCATACAGAAAGGTATATAGAAGGAAAATGTCTGTTGTTTCACTTCATAAAAGCTTCGAGTTTGCATCGACGTTTGTAACTTGTACATTCGTTCTGCGATCTAACTTAGAAACCATGGCAACTTCCAACTGTGCCGACCAGATTTGTTCACCATCTGCCACTAAATTGTCGTCTGCTGCTGCTTCATGGAAGGACGACCCAGTGTCAGCCTCCTTCCAACTCTTTAGTCTCATTGAAATGCAGGATAGATTCCTTGAACAAATCCAGGCCATAGGTATGTAAATGTGTTGTTTTGTATCTACATGATTTAAATGGATAATTTATTTGAACTAAGACATACTATTATGACAGTTACTGTGAAGTTATTCAAGCCATTATTGTAATCGTTATTGTAAACCTGTACAAATTATTTCATTTGACACACCAAAGTACCAATAAGCTCCTGTCTCATTTTAGATGCCTACATCCTGGAACTGGCCGAGAAGATCGGGAGAGATGCAGCCAATGGCGGCCATGTTGGCCATGGGTTACTTCTGCTCAACAGGAAGTGTGTAGCTGAGGGTGTCCGTCAGGTGTACCTACGACTGGCCACACAGAAGTGGAGACAAGTCAAGCAGTGCTACAACTTCATCAGACAAAACTTCGACGACCAAGACCATCTTTCAGCTGCTGATTTGGACGAGTCACATAACTACGAGGTCACCAAGATTGCTCGTGGACTTAGTATGGAGTGTTGTGTGTTCCAGCGACCATGCTAGCAGGATGAAAAAAGCTCATGAACTGCCATAACTGTGAAGATTCTGTCTTCAGTGGCGGCGATTTAGTGCTTATTGTTATTATTGTTAAACAAGTGCTGCCATGATAAAGCTGTCGAAGAGAGTTCAAAGCCTGTAAATAAAATTGTTAAAATTGTCAGCCTTTTGTTGATGTTAAAAATAATAGCAACTCATTTAGCTTCATTCAACATCAGATGTAAGTGTAGGTAAAGGGTCAGCTAATCAACAACAAACTTCTACGTTATACCTATCAAACAATTCAACAACAAATTAGTTTCTCTCTACGTGGTGGAGTGAGATTATTGCTTACCGCTGCATCTTGCACCAAATCGGGAAAATTCAAACGTCTTGTTCATGTAAGGATAAGAATTTATGGATGAACAACTTCTGTATTACAATCAAGCAAGTGGAGTGATGAAGGTGTTAGAACCTATACCGAAACGTCGCTCTCAATTGTAATAAAGAAGTTGTTCTTTACTAAATTCTTATCCTTACTTAGTACTCCAACTTCTAAATCACTATCAAAGAAGTCTTGTTCATGGTTTAAACGTCTTATTTCGATTATGGGCGAGGATGCGGCGACACTGGATCGGCAAACAAACCAATACTGGTTTAAGCAAGCGAGTGAGTGTGTTGGATTTGAAGCCGCTTTTAACAGTATTCCAGTTATATCACGGCGTGTCAGCTTAATGTGGGAGGAAAGCCCGAAGTGACGCAGGTCTCACACGTTTACGTATTGGAGAAAACACGCACACGAGGTTTTGGTAGACAGAGCATACCCTGGGGAGAGGGAAAAAACTAAGGGGGCGAAGCCCCCGCGGTTTTTCCCGACCCCCAGGGCATGCTCTGTCTACCAAAACCGAGGGGAAGTGTATTTCCATGCTTATAAACCGAAAAAAGAAACTCAAAACAACATTTATCAACATTTTAATGTTTCGAACATACTTTCCATGAACCTTATGAAACGCGCGTAAAATATCTGTTGCCGGCGTACGGATCTTGAGAAGGACATTCTAAAAACCAGTGTAGCTTTAACAACACCTCTGTAGCCTTATGGTACACTCACTGGGCTACAGATATGAAGGTTGCGAGTTTCGATCCTCGGAAATATAAAGAAAACATTTGTCGTTTGATTTCACATTTCATTACATGTTACAATCTGAACGGAAGTTACATTAATAAAATACCCAGGACATTATATAAAATCCCAGGGACATTACAACGTTCCTGTTTATGAGATTTAACCCGACTGGAAAGTAAAACCTCACAATAGGTTTTTAATGCCTATAGAAAGAAGTCTCTTACTTAATAGCGATCCCAATGAATAGGTTTATAACACTTCGGTGAAACCCACGAGCACGGGTATGGTGCTGTTTAAGCAAGTGTCTCTCCTTTGATTCAGGTTAGCATGTCATTCAGAGGATCTCCACCATCTTCCCGAGGTGAGAGTTGCCTTCCTTATATCAAAGTCTAGTTTTCACCCTTTCAATTTAAAGTCGACCTTTCTGTGCTTGAAAATTACATGCTCAAAAGATAGGATTATCGCATATCCCGGTAGTCCAATCAGAGAACGTTGTATAAAATCAACATCCGGGTTCCAAAAACGTGGTCACTGCAACAACCCCTGTCGAATTTCCACTGAAATTATTTAAAATCAAGCAAGGACAAAATATTTCTGAAATCGTTCAAAGATTTCAGTCAACTTACCCACCTTGTTTTATATTCTAGTAAAAATAAATGCATTGTATAACTCGAACGACTGAACGCTTATCGCAGCGTCTGAGATGGTGACTCCAGTGTTATTTTCTGACGTCCTCTGCTGAGACTTCCATGCTACAATGACGTGCGGTATTACGTCTGTTACCTGATACTGTGTAGTGTGTGAGTCTCTGTTAATGTAAGAGCGAAATGCGGAAGCAATAAGTGTTCTTTACTGTGGCCATCTTTCATTTTGACTGACAGGGATGACATCTCCAATATTTTGGTTATCTCATCCACCAGGTTGTCATGGTATGGTAGTCATCTTTTTGAAGCGACCTAATTGAATATCGCGTTTTTCATCACAGGGGACATAACTCTATGCGGGTTGGCGACACGGGCGAGCCGAAAAAATTAGGCTTGAAATGGTAAGTGTGAAATCTAGACTTTGACATAGGCTAGAGGTAAACTTTGCCTTGGGAAGATGAGCTCAACAGATTTTGACCACTGACAACATACATGGCATGAATTTGTGTACTAAATTCTTGAGTTGAAGCGTGCATGTGACTAGAGACCATATACCGATATATGGTCTCTGATGTGACAAAGCTTTCATGCTTAGTATTTTGGATAGAAAAAAAAGTATCGCGATACAATTTTCCTGCTGACTGTGACATGGAAAATATATATCTTGCCCACAAAACATTAACAGATCGACTAATCACAAATATCAAGATCCTGCTCAATAATCTATATAAAACTTTACTGATATGACATTCCTTGCAATTTCAGAAAAGGTCAACGTTCAATTATGTCAACATTTGATTTTTCACATTTTTACCCAAACACTTATTTCCTTTATTATGGTGGATTTGGTCCTAAAAGTGCTGACCGTGTATACAGTCTTCAATGTTTGAGTACAATTTGTCAAAAATGACAGCAAATGTCATCGGAAGTCCTGGACAGGTAGCACCTATGCGAAATGTGGGGACAGGATATATAGGCAAGAAGATCCCATTCCGAGTGAACGGAGGTGACTGACTGGACATTTATAGTCAGTTACTCCTTGCCTCGGGAAGATTGCAAGAAACAGGTACCCCATTTGTGCTACATCCTGATCTGTTTGTTTATGCATACGTGTCTGCTCGGATTCGACAAAATCAGAACAAAGAAACTTTGACTAATAGCTCACCATGTGTTTGTTTTGAAGCTGTTATTTCAACAGATCCTAACAATGAAGGCGGAAGAAAGAGGAACCAACCTATGTGTTAAGATCTGAATCATTAGATAACATCTGTTCATCAATTGTTCTCCAATCTTATTTCTGTTGGAGATCAGGAAATTATTTTAAAGATGTGTGTTGTGGGAATGGTTTAGTTTTCGGGGACAGTATTAACCATAAATTCTGATATTTAATTTTTCACACTCCTGAAACGTAAAGTTAGCACTGTATTGTGAATGACCGTGGCACACAGGCTAACCACCATTTTCAGTTTCTATGCACAGTTCCAGATAAGACACTGACAATGGTTTCTCCGTTGTTTCTGTTATTTCCAAGCCAGGTGGACAGATAAAGGAGATACTCATCTTCGCCCTGTTGAAAAAAATAGATTACCTATGTATCTGAAAGTACGGTTGAACGTTTTGGTATCGTGTCCTTTCTTTGATTTCACTAAAGAAGCAAAAAAGTCCGAATCGTATGTGAAGAGCAACAGATCAGCTATGGACAAATCCCACGAGCAAGGGCTGACAAATCAAGGATCATCATTACGAGCCTGGGTTCCTAACCCACAACTAAGGCATTCTGGTACAGCTGTAGGAGGCAAGTGTACACAGCGAATTACAGCGCGTTTGACAACTGGGCAAACTGTGTTCCCTGTATAATCCATGTGTTGGGGGGCTTACGGTAAAGCAGAGGTAGGGGATACGTTTTCAGCCCTCTCGAGTAATTCGTTTGTTACATATGGTGCCAATATATATTTACATTGTTCAATGCTACAATGTCTACAACTTCTATATTTGAATTCTCATCAGGTTATACAAAAAGCATTTGTGTGTCTATCTTTAGCAAGATATTGTTACATTGTTCATACGAAAGCTTCCATATTTGCTATTCAGAAGATTATATGACGCTTATACAGCTAAAACTAAAACGGCCAATATGGGTATTTTGGCTCGGGATACAGAAATAACTCAAACGACTTTCTAAGTATGGAGATGTTTATTTACAAAACAACGAATTGACAGTATGTCATGTCAATACGTGTTGGTAACAATATTTACAATGAGCACTAGATGTTCGTCAGCGAACACATTTCAAGTCATTTTCTGAGTATTTTCCATTCTGCTAGCATGATCGCTGGAACGCACAACACTCCATACTAAGTCCACGAGCAATCTGGGTGACCTCATGGTCGTGTGACTCGCCCATATCAGTTGCTGAAAGATCGTCGTGGTCATCGAAGTTTTGTCTGATGAAGTTGTAGCACTGCCTGACTTGTCTCCGCTTCTGTGTGGCCAGTCGTAGGTACACCTGACGGACACCTTCAGCTACACACTTCCTGTTGAGCAGAAGTAACCCATGGCCAACATGGCCGCCATTGGCTGCATCTTTCACGATCTTTTCTGTCAGTTCCAGGATGTAGGCATCTGAAATGAGACAAACGCTTATTAGTACCTTGGTGTGTCAAAATAATTATTAACACTATATCATAAATGAAAAACGGTGATACATACGCATAGGCCAGTCAGCGATGTTATCATGTTGACAATAGCATTTCTTTATAAATCTAAAAGCTATGTCAATTGTTTATGGTACAAATATGACGTTATGACCAACATAATTATAGAATTTTATTCAAGAAAGAATTATTTAAGATGAACACATGTACATACCTATGGCCTGGACTTGTTCGAGGAATCTATCCTGCATTTCAATGAGACTGAAGAGTTGGAAGGAGGCTGACACTGGGTCGTCCTTCCATGAAGCAGCAGCAGACGATAGTTTAGTGGCAGACGGTGAACAGATCTGGCTGGCACAGGTGGATGTTGCCATGGTTTGAAGTTGGTTTCAACTATGATTTAACCAGAAAACAGGTGACTTTGCACTCGTAGTTTGCTGTAGTGGAGATACTGAATGGCATGTCTCAGACATCCTGCTTCTATATATCTGCCTGTGTGACACTGAGACATGGAGTAGTCTGTTGGAGTAGTGGCAAGCTCAGTTCTCCCATACATAGGATTGACAAGGATTATCCTGGCTAATTCTTCCACTTTGACCTAATCTCACCGTCTGCCGGGCAGGAAACTGTGTGATTGGCAGGGAGATTATGGCGATGTTTTCCATACTGTCACAGTAATACAACCATGTTGCGTCAACGCTGAGTAGTCACTGATTGCTTGATTGGATAAAGTTCACCTCATTTAAATTATAGCAGGTTGCGGCAGCATTGTATCTCTGTAGTGGCAGCAAGGAATTGATGAGTGTGTGATTGGTCGGTCAGTATTGAAGTGATTGGAGTAGTGTGTCAGCATCCTGGTGAACACATTGTTTATATTGTCACCTGGTGACTTGTATACTTGTAAGTTAATCTGTGTGTCAATTTTGATTGCCGATTTTGAAGTGAATCTGGCTGAAGCTAAACTTCTGTACTTGCAATCATTGGACTTTAATCACAGAACTCCCATATGAAGAATCTGAATGTTTCCTGTCAGCGATAATATTGTTTATGAAAATTACGACAATACCTCTTGTTTATTAATATAAAGTCAATACACGTTCTTTATAAATGAAAATACCTATTCTCCATAAATGTAAAGACAATACCTATTTCGATATACGTTAAGACGATACCTATTCAAATGTAAAGATAATGTATATTGATTAAAAATGTATAATTAATATCTATTCTACAAAAATGTAAAAATAAAACTTATTCTACATAAATGTAAAGATGATACCTATTTTTATAAATACTCTTATACCTGTATACACGTTTCGTGAACACCTGGTGTCATCACTGATTTTCAGTGATCCATTCATGTTATTTTTACCTCTATTTTACCCAGTGTTTTGTGTTTCGTCGTTTATATCATAACTGAATCTCATTTGTGAAAAGGTGTCATATCGGAAAATGAAAGAAAGTACATTATGTTCAAGTCCTTTCTTCTCTAGGTATCAAAGATTAACCATAATCCTTAATACAATCAGGGAAGGACTTTATTTGAGGTGAGTGGAATTAATATATGTACCCTGTGTATTCTCAAAAACTCAAAGGATTTGCTTGAATCTTTGCAATCTCAGAAAAGAACCAAGAAAAAGTCCCAACCCCAACCCCCAACCCCCAAACCCCAACCCCGGGCCCATCCTTACCCCTGCGTGTTTACACTCTCAACCAAGCCCTGGGAATCGTGTTTTATCCTTTTCATAAAGATTCAGAGTGACAAAAATCTCACCACGGGACGGTATGGCAAGAGGGATGACTTTAACCCTACAACAGTCAACTTTTCCTTTACGTCGAGCCATACTTCACCAGCTCCAACCTTTGGTGTCTTCATTTCACAACTTTCGATCATGCTCTTTCTAAGAAGATTTCAAAGAGAGTCATACGACTCTTGTTAAAAAATTGATTGATAAAGCTTAAGTCCTCAGTCAAATTTCAAAAAGTTTTATGCAAGACATGTGAAGTATGCAATCCCAATGTAGCATATGTTCCCGCTTTTTCAGATGAACAATTGATTTGCCTTTGCATGTGTTTGTGACGGGTGCCACAGGTGGGTCAGGATAGGCTCACCTTTTCGCGTACACCTGGTATCATCACTGATTTTCAGTGATCCATTCATGTTATTTTTACCTCTATTTTACCCAGTGTTTTGTGTTTCGTCGTTTATATCATAACTGAATCTCATTTGTGAAAAGGTGTCATATCGGAAAATGAAAGAAAGTACATTATGTTCAAGTCCTTTCTTCTCTAGGTATCAAAGATTAACCATAATCCTTAATACAATCAGGGAAGGACTTTATTTGAGGTGAGTGGAATTAATATATGTACCCTGTGTATTCTCAAAAACTCAAAGGATTTGCTTGAATCTTTGCAATCTCAGAAAAGAACCAAGAAAAAGTCCCAACCCCAACCCCCAACCCCCAAACCCCAACCCCGGGCCCATCCTTACCCCTGCGTGTTTACACTCTCAACCAAGCCCTGGGAATCGTGTTTTATCCTTTTCATAAAGATTCAGAGTGACAAAAATCTCACCACGGGACGGTATGGCAAGAGGGATGACTTTAACCCTACAACAGTCAACTTTTCCTTTACGTCGAGCCATACTTCACCAGCTCCAACCTTTGGTGTCTTCATTTCACAACTTTCGATCATGCTCTTTCTAAGAAGATTTCAAAGAGAGTCATACGACTCTTGTTAAAAAATTGATTGATAAAGCTTAAGTCCTCAGTCAAATTTCAAAAAGTTTTATGCAAGACATGTGAAGTATGCAATCCCAATGTAGCATATGTTCCCGCTTTTTCAGATGAACAATTGATTTGCCTTTGCATGTGTTTGTGACGGGTGCCACAGGTGGGTCAGGATAGGCTCACCTTTTCGCGTACACCTGGTATCATCACTATCTGAGAGTGATTCATAAACACACGCCCATGATACAGTCGGAATTGTATAATCGACGCTTTGTTAGCAGATATTTCTTGTGAATATGGAAAGGGTTTAGGCGCTATAATTTTAAAAGGCCTGCCTCAAACAGAAATTTTTGATTTGTAGTCCGGAACTACCCGACTTGTAGGAGAAAGGTTTCGACATGGGGAGATATCTTTCAAATGTTATTATCTATTTGAAGTGTTGATAATACATGAGTTTATGCTACAAGAATATAATGGATTATTATCACTTAAGTGCATATCTGAGGCTTGGGAACAATTGTCAAAGAAATTAGATTACCGTTTTCAGACATATACCGAAAGCCGTTGAATGATTTGCAGGAAGCGTTGTCATAAATGATGGAGATTGAACATAGTATGACTTGCTCAACACTGACAGGAGAAAACAGGACATTATATGTATCAGTTTCTTATACTAGTGTCTCAACACACACCTGGACTGCTGATTTAGTAAGATGGAGATCTACATTTTAGCAGATTCAAATATACTAGCCACATAAAGAAACTGTGCACGGAGAAAATATACTCTGGATTGAAATACAACACAGCAAGAACAAAATGATGCAGACGCTGTAGCAGCTGAATGATCGGACCATAAGAAAATGTCAACGGGACCTGAACAACATCTGTTACGATGACGTCAGAAGATCAAAATGGAGTAGGGGGTCAAACGACAAAGTCACAAAGTCAATAACGGGTATGACCACCCTGTGCGTGAATCACAGCAGTGCATCGGCGACGCATGGAGTCCACCAAATGGGCCTGGAAGGCCTGGGGAATGGCCTGCCATATCCTCCTCAAATCTTGTGCCAAATCACGGACGTTATCTGGAGGATGTGGAAGACGACGCAGACGGCGCTCCATTTCATCCCACACATGCTCTATTGGGGAGAGATCTGGAGAAATTGCAGGTCATGGCAGTAACATGACATTGTTATGGTGAAGGAAATCCATTGCGACCCTAGCCGTGTGAGGACGAGCGTTGTCCTGTGGAAATGTCAATCCCGGGCCATGACGTTGCAGGAAAGGAATGACCACATGCCTCAGAATCTGATCTCTGTAGCCAACACCGGTGAGATTGCCCTGAACAACCACCAAAGGGGTTCGGTGCCGTGCTGTTATCCCACCCCAAATCACCACAGAGCCACCTCCAAAACGATTCCTCAATACAGTTGCGTGCATAACGTTCTCCCAAACGCCGGTAGACACGTTGGCGCCCGTCACTGTGGGAAATGTTGAACCTCGATTCATCTGTAAAGACAACATTTCTCCACCATATTCGAGGTTGGCGAACATGATTTCGACACCATCTTAGACGGTTGACTCGATGACGGTGTGTCAGGATGGGACGTATGGCAGAGCGTCGTGGTCGAATCCCGTACTGACGTAAACGATTCCTGACAGTGTTGGGATGGATACGGCGCAGTCCAGGAATTGTCTGGGACGTCGTTACTGCCGTTTGGAACCTGTGTCGGAGATGTGTAACTCGAATCCATCTGTCCTGTCTTGGCGTCGTTACTCGGGGACGTCCTGAACGTGGGTGGTCGGCAACGTCATTTGTGTTCTGATAACGCCTCACCAATGCCGATATCGTGTTACGATGGCATTGGAAATGTGTTGCCACCTGTTGTTGCCTCATTCCCGCTCGGATCATTCCAATGGCTTCATGACGCTGTGCAGCTGTCAATCTTGACATGATTTGCTTGTGATATGCTTGTCTGCGCCTTGAATTTTTGAATGACCACAGATCATGCTTTCCAAAGTGACAGCGAATTTTGAGTTGCACATGCTGTGTACAGCTGCAGGGGATGCACGTGCAGTAACACACTGCACGTCCATAGGCCCCCATAAATGACGTCATATCGCATGGCACGTGCATGAGCGTTTGAATGTCTCCAATAATTGCTGTGTTCAAACCTATCTTTCATATATGGACGGTGTGCCCTTATATCTATATTTTCTCCGTGCACAGTTTCTTTATGTGGCTAGTATACATGCAGCAATGTTACCCTTCGCAGAGTAGATGCGATCTGATTTTTATCTCAACTGATCGAAAGTAAAGTCGCCTTATGTCATGAGCTGCCTGGGTGTCATTGAACCTGGAATCAACTCAGGCCATTCCAACAACAAATGGAAATGATCTGACATGTTTGACTTCCAGGTGGCCCTGTAGTTTAAGATGTTGTAATTGGCTGTGCAGAGAAGAGTCCCTATGTCATGGGTTCAAATCCCATATCCATCCCTCATGATCCAGGGCCATGTCCATCACTTACAGCTTTCCTTTCACATCACCCCAAACCTTTTACAGTGCTATCCCCCTTTGATACCATGACGCAGTTTAACATGGATATTCCACAAGACACAGTATGCTGACTCGGGGTGACCAGTCCTTATTTTAGACCCTATATGTCAGGCTGGGCACGGGTGGCCCAGTCGTCTAAGGCGCCGCGATTCGCTGTGCAGAGTTGCGTCCCGTGGACACGTCAGAAACCTATAATTGTGGATTCGAATCCAGGTTCACGCCGATTATGTTTCTAGGTTTGTCAGCACAATACCCGTGCTCGTGGGTTTCACCGAAGTGATCAACGTCTGAGACCTGCATCACTTCGGGCTTTCCTCCCACATTAAGCTGACATGGCGCGATATAACTGGAATACTGTTAAAAGCGGCATTAAACACAACTCACTCACTCACTCACTAAATGTCAGGCACCACACAGGGAAACAAGTACTATATTTTACAGTCTTTTGATACAACAGGGCTGTTGAATGAACCACCCACCTTCTGCACTCAGGCCAGACGATCTACCCATAGGTGAAATAACCTTGAAGCACACTAATTCACTCTTTCATAAAAAGCACAGGAGATATAATGTAATACAAAATTTTATTCATACCTTACAAAAATATATAATGATGTCCTATATTTGTTTTAACATAGGCTATAATATGTATATTTCAACACAGAGTTACAAGGGTAAGATTGCACATAAATGTTGGGTCAGTGTATATGGAGACAAATGTATGCTAGCCACCTCACAACTACTCTTGTTATGATGAGTCACGTGTTTGTGTATCTGTATAGAAGATGTTCATCGTTACAGACAAGGCTACTTTTGTGATCCCATAAACATGGTAAATTTTATCATTGGAGCAAAACTATTATCTGCACCACTTTTATGCCATAGTTTTGTTGACATATTGTTTTCTTCACGAACAGTGTAAATAGTATAAATAAAAATGGAATAGAATTGTCTAAGGCATTTCTACCATAGCCCCCTGAACTAATCATAGGCATAATATCCTCGCACTCTCTTGACTAACTGTGTAATGATAAACTGTAGTAGGAAAGTACTATCGTATATGAGGACAATTGCATAGAACAGTGATCACTGGTTGAAGCAAAAATATGATATACATATATTTTACGTACGAAAATAAAGGCAAGGAGGAATTATTCCTTTTGAAATAAATGTTTTTCTCATCATTCAATGAAGAAGGAAACAACGATAAGAATATGCCAACAGTAACATGATATTCTCATCTTAAAACATAGGCTAAAATGTAAGTATTGATAGTGTATGAGGGCTACTTTGTATAACAATAAGGCCTGGTGACATCACTCTGGTGAGTATAAGTTATATACAAGGGCTGTACAAATAGCGGGGTAAATACAAGCAACTATCAGCTGTAAGCAGATGGGATATAAAAGAATACAAGCCATATCCATATCAGTTGTAAACAGACAGGTTATAAAATGATCGCAAGCAGAACATATCGACTGAGAGCTGATACAGAAGATTAAGTATTTTGTCTATAAGATAGCAAACATGTAAGTTTTGAATCGGCTATGTAAGGTAGAAATATATCATTGCAAATATGAATCTTGATTTTGACAGAAAACTGTCTGTCTGCAATATATGTAAATAAACAAAACCCAACAATAATTAGAGCCAGTAACACCATAACAGACAATGCATAACATATATAACAGCAGATCATCATTTAGAAGGGAGTTCATGGAAGACGGGGATGAATTTCTGGAGTAGCTGTTGCTGAAACTGATGGTCATCTTCATCTTCACGATGGTTCAGAGGAACCGGACAATCCATGTTTTTGACATAGATGTTTATCAGAGAAACATAGGACTTGTAAAAACTGCAAGTGTTATTTTACAAGATCTTTATCCTAATGCCATTTTCCCTTCTGGCAACATGCTACCCATGTAATACAATGACTCAAGAACTATAGATGCCTAAACTATGTGGACATTAAAAACATGGAATTACGGGAGTCGCGTAAGTGCACTGTGTGCTCGAAAACAATTACTCCTATTTTTTTAAAATCCTAAGACGAGCAAATATAGATTTTGAAACTGAAAGTTAAAATTCTGTAATTTGACAGACAGCAGTATGAATAGCCTCTCCTTGGAAAGCTTCTTGGTAATATAAATAGTACTCTCTCCTTGGGGGAAGGATTCTCTGACTATATACAATACATAATACATTTGGTCTATATGCTCTGCTACACAGTTGATATTTGTGCTTATATAAAATTGATTCGCCATGCCTTCCAAATTCAGATAACATAATCCTATACTGTTAGGAAGTATATTTTGATGATAAAATGTACAATTTCCCTTGTTAGAACATGTCACATCAACATTTCATGATCACATCATGACAATAAATGAGAATGGGAATTCTAAAATAATGACTCTGCACACATCCTGTAAGACGACAAATGTCCTTTCCTGAGAGACTTTGAACAACGAGAGAACCCGCAATAAGAGTTTGATATATTCTGCTGTGTTAAATTCTTCAAAGAAATAGAATTTGACAAAGTGAGACACGGTTTCTCAACAAGCATTTATTTATGATGGTGCCAGGTGGCATTCTTACAGGATGTGGAGCCAATTCTTTATATACAATGATAACTGATATTATGCTAAAATGAAATACTGACATATAGATGAGTGTAGGATCTGTGATAAAACAGACCAGATGACAAAACATTTAAGGGTTACAGCTATAGTAAGTATAGGAGTAACGACAGTCTTAGATATCAGAATTCTATCTGGAATGTGGCCTCGAACAGAAACACACGAAAGCTGAAGCAAATACTAACTACTTGCATAGAATTAGATACTGTCAGAAAGCATAAACCTTTCACAAAATGGCCGTCTCCTTCAGATACTACTGGTCTAACAACCTATAATACAGTCTTACTTTTGTGATATCTGAAAAAGGAAAACTATATACAGTTGACTTTTGATTAATTTTCAGACAAGTGTCTTAGTTTTGAAGAAATTATTCTACAGTTTTTGTTTTGGTCAGTTTGTAACTGAATATGTACATGGTTAAAGCTAGATATATTTATATATTCATTACAAGCTTGCATTCTCCAAGGGAACCACACATCTGTTGAGCAGTTTCTTCTTCCTGCTGACAGAGGTATCACAACGACTTGAGAGCTTTAACTTATCCAACATATTCATATTGGCTAATATCATCTGTTGTTGAAACAATCAACAAATCACAGGTTTCAGGTACTTCTGCTTCTTGACAAACTGCCCAAATTAGAGATCCTGACCACCAGGTGTCAGTCTCCGTACTTGTAGACACAATTACACGAATGACGTAAGTCTAGATTTTCCGAAATGGAGCTCCTGACCACAAGGTGTCCGTGTCTGTACTTGTAGACACAATTACATGAGTGACGTGATTCTAGATTTTCCGAAATGGAGTCCCTGACCAACAGGTGTCAGTCTCCGTACTTGTAGACACAATTACACAAGTGACGTGAGTCTACATTTTCCGAAATGGAGTCCCTGACCACCAGGTGTCCGTGTCCGTACTAGTAGACACAATTACATGAGTGATGTGAGTCTACATTTTCTGAAAGTCTCAGTACTTATAGACACAATTACATGAGTGGTGTGAGTCTACATTTTCCAAAATGGAGTCCCTGACCACCAGGTGTCGGTCTCCGTACTTGTCGACACAATTACATGAGTGAGGTGAGTCTACATTTTCCAAAATGGAGCTCCTGACCACCAGGTGTCCGTGTCCGTACTTGTAGACACAATTACACGAGTGACGTGAGTCTACATTTTCTGAAAGTCTCCGTACTTATAGACACAATTACATGAGTGGTGTGAGTCTCCGTACTTGTCGACACAATTACACCAGTGACAGGCATCCACACTGATGATCTACAATGCTACATCCATGGCACTACTTGATTCATCACTATAAGGCTGTGTCCATAGTGTTTTAAAGCCCTTGTTATAAGGCAAAGGTATGTATTTTCCCCATACAGTGCTCATCCCTGTTTTGTGTTGTGCTGCAGTGTCACTATGGTAGTACTCACTATACGTATCCCACCACCGATATGCACTGTCATAACATGACCTTCTAAAGCACACTTCTGTTAGCTTCTCTAGGTGATGGAGATGCGGGAATCTTGGCTTCTGTAGATGCTGGTCCAGAGGAACAACCTCCATGGCTGTGCCGTTGTGTCTTGACTTATATGATACCACTACAGTTCTACACAACTGGTAATATAAGCCTGTATCTCATGGAGTAGTTATATTGGACAATGGAAGAATCTTGCACTATTTGTGATGGTGTTGAGGATCCCATGATGCTCAAAGGCCCTGTCACATGACTATATACAAGTGATATGATTGGCTGCTTGCTCAGTTATAGACACCATTACTCGGACGGTCTGGCCGTTTGCGATATCGGTTGATGACTTGCATGTACTGACCAATCAGGTTTGAGATGTCAGAACCCTGGAACATGAAGAAATCAGTACATCATTACTTGAACATTTTGTGGCAGTAGTGCATACTAGGTCTGCGATGAGTCCAAATTTACAACCCAAGTACCCACCCCCCTTTTCCCTGACCCTGTCGTTCTGAAGAGATAGGTACAAGATGTCTGATTTGGAATAGTTTGACCGTAGCCCCGGAAAAATGTATTTAGATACATACATAAAACGATCTGGTCATGCATACACTGAAGTTGACTGACGTTTTATCTTTATTCAAACATATAAAGTCAGAAGGACATTAGTGACTTGTAGTGTAACCATATAGTTCTAGATCATTCTTGTCATTAAACAATGTATTACATGACTAACCAAGGGTCCGGGTAGTCCTGTGGTGCCCCGGGTCCTTCTCAGGTCCCACCCGACCCGAATACCTAAGTTACCCGTCCCAGCCCTAATGCATACATACATTCTATAAGTGGACACACCAGCATATTCTGGTTCTGAACTTTACTGAACAGTCTTCCATCAGCTTATTGACAATACCAGGACAGAGGAACACCAGGATCTTATCATCTCACACCCACAGCCATCTCTCACTCATATCTGTTCACCAGGTATTTAATCCCAGACCTATGATTGCTACGACTGACACCATCTGCTTACCTGATCTGTTTCAATGCGGAGGATCTTCTGCACCATGAGATTGCCAAGTTTCATGTCCAGGTAGTTGACGTTGTAGTCGCTGCGGTAACGCCGCGTTGACAAGATCTCGCTGAACGGATGCTTCAGTATAACATCCTGGGAACAAAGTCCACATATTTTACACATCCAACTAGTTAAGTCAGGTTCTCTGTCACACAGAGACGACTAATACACCTCACTGAGTGAGTGAGTGAGTTGGGTTTAATGCCGCTTTTAACAGTATTCCAGTTATATCGCGGCGTGTCAGCCTAATGTGGGAGGAAAGCCCCAAGTGACGCAGGTCTCAGACGTTTACCACTTCGGTGAAACCCACGAGCACGGGTATGGTGCTGACAAACCTAGAAACATAATCGGGACGAACCGGGATTCGAACCCACAATCATAGGTTTCTGGCGTTCCCAAGGGACGCAACTCTGCACAGCGAATCATGGCGCCTTAGACATCTGGGCCACCCGTGCCCCCCTCACTGAAAGAAGAACCTCGGAGTTTCTAGCCAGCAGCACAGATTAAGTTTGAAAGATGAATTCCCAAACCAACCAATTCCTCTGACCATTGACCAAGGGCTTTCCCAGCCTTGTTATTTGTTCTAAAAATAGCTGGGAAAGGTAAAAGGTTTTGTTTCTGTCTTCTGAGCAGGGCTATGTACTTTTCACCTGATTAAATTATACTTAAGCTAGGTAACAATGTTATGATAAAAGTCATCAGACGATGACAAATCCCCCCGGCCCCCACAAATTCTAAAGAACAAATCATCTGATTGTTACAAGAATGATTTGTCCAACTTGATGAGTATTTCTATCTAGTCTGTCTGTCTGTATACAAGAGAAGTTATGGTGCTATCAAAACAATACCATGGAATTGGGATTTGGAACTTTCTATTTGTAAACATGAACAATCATGATAATGTGATACAAAATTATGATAACATATAAATAAACAAAGGTGTAACAAATAATTGAAATAAAAAATTTAAAAATGCCTAAATAAGCAAAAGGCACCAGTTGAAAACTTGATCTCTGTGTGTGCAAAGTTTATTGAATGAATACCTATTAGTTTTAGAGATATGGTCCGAAACAAACACACCACAATGAACAGTGTCAAAGTGAAACTTGTTGCTATGGAAAAGGAAAAAATTAAAATTCTAAAATTCTGTAATAAGCAAAAGGCACCAGTTGACAACCTGGTCTTTGTGTGTGCAAAGTTTCATAAAAAGAATACCTATTGGTTTTAGAGATACAGTCCGGACACACACAACACCATGAACAGAGTCAAACTTGTTGCCACGTAAATGGAAAAATACACATCCATAAATAGCAAAAGGCACCTGTTCACAACCTGGTCTTTCTGTGTAAGAATACCTATTAGTTTTAGAGATATTATCCGGACAAAAAAATGGTCAGTTGGACAGACAAGCTGATTACTATATCTCCCCGTATTACCTAGCGGGGGGAATAAAAAAATCAGAAGACACATATCCATATTGGAAACTTTTCAGTAAGATTGGACTCATTGAATCAAATCATAACCAATATAATGGTTGCCAAGGTTACCTGTGAGTCTCTCTTGAGGAACTGGATGCCGACCTTGTTCACAGCCAACATGCACTCTCCTGTCACGTTAGGTACGCTCTGACAAAGAAAGGGAAGGTCACATCCTAAAATCACATCTGGTTCTAAGAAACAAAACATGTCTCTTCTACTTTCAACATAGCAACATGTCTATAAATGAAATATAAATGATAACATAATGTTTATTCTTACTTTTTTAAGCATTAACATTAATAGACAAATATTAAATATCTGTGTTGTTGATAAAGACACTAACCTTTATGAGGAAGAAAGTAGAACCAAAGAGTGGCCATCTTGAGAGCATTTCTGAAAAAGAAAAACATCACCATCATAAAGTTATTAAGTAAGTAGTGCTTTTTTCTCAATGAGTTCTCTCCGCAACATATAATTCATTAACTAATGCATAACAAGTAGATATAAGCATGAAAAAATATCGAACAGCCTTAATTTTGTAGATGGGTGAGTGACTCGTGGTATAGCACCATTCTTGACAGCTAGACAACCAGACATTCGTATCATTTCTTCTGTCATAGAACCATCATGTTGACCACCATCTCCCTGGCAACTGAGACTGACCTAAGAATGCAACCCTGCAGTCTGCTGGTGACATCTGGGCGATGCCCCGCATGTAGTCGGTCACTCGGTTCAGCCATTGCTGGGGTCTCATCTCAGGGTGGGACTTCACTGTCCTGGGGACCATAATGTCAATGTCCTTCCTGTAAACACAAGCACATAGATATGACAAACACATATAACCGCTGCATCTCGTGACTCCGTTAGCCTATACCCCTTAACCCAGAAACCAAACTTTTGGACAATTGCTGTTTTCGAAATGTTCATCTATGAAAAGGTGCATCTGTGTCTGTCTGTCAGTCAGTCGGTATGGATGATTTGTTAATCTTGAAACATTTGTAAACTTAGAAGGTTCGCCATCAAGATGAACAGAAAGTTCCTCGAGGATCATTGCCATCAAGATGAACAGAAAGTTCCTCGAAGATCATCTCCATCAAGATGAAGAGAAGGTTCCTCGAGGAACATCATCGTCAAGATTGACCAGAAGGGTCCTCGAGGATCATGAACAGAAGGTTCCTGACAGTGACATTAGGAGTAACATTCGGAGTGTAAACAGATTATATATTATGGTATATATACAAAGTAATCAGCTTGAAGAAAAATGATCAAGAACACTTGTAGTCCAAGTTTCATTGTTCAGGCTGCAATGCTGATGTGTGAGTGAGATCCAAAGTTCTACTCACATGGTTGGTATTTTGACCTGGTTCTGTGCCTTGTACAGGAGGGACCCCATCCTGGCAATCTGGTCCTGGAGAGAGAACAGATTCAGAGATGCACAGTTCAAACTAACTGTTACCAGTACCACAGGCAGATCAAGCACCCACTTCCCATTTGAAAACCAAATGTAGTATGTTGTAGGCAGTAAATTTATCTGAGAGAGGGTTTTGATATTTTGGACCCTCCCTTTTGAAAAAGCTGCTTAACTACTGAAATGACATAGTTCTGGATGAATAACACTGCTCTCACCTTTGGATATTTTGTAGTTACAATATGCAAAAAACATCCGCTCCCCAAGCTATCTTAATTCCAACGAAGTCATAATCAATACATTGTTAACATGAATAATTTGGACATATATTTAACTTCAATGAATTTACAGAAGACAAGCCTGTCAGTATGTTTAGTCTGCAGAGGAAGACTTGATTAACACATGATGATGCTGTATACATACCAGCTCCTCCTTGCCGAGAGTGCTCCTGTTGATGAGCAGCCCATCCAGATAGTCCAGGATGCACTAGGGAGGACACACAGACAGACTAGTGTCAATAGTGAAACATGACGCCGCATACAAAAAGAGCACATGCACTCCTGTTTACAGTAAACACAAATCAGAGATGGTTTTAATCCCCCCCCCCCTCCCCTCCTCCCTCCAGCTAGCTGTCAGGGGCCATTTGTGGGATGGTTACTAAGATTTTCTATATGATTTTCTTAGTTGTGCTTCCGATCTGAGTACCAAGGTTACATATTTTGAAGGAGGCTAGCATTATATTGATCCAGCATTACATAAGGGATTAGAGCGAGTGAGTGAATGAGTAGTTTTACACAGTAACAATATTCCAGCAATATCACGGCGGGGACATGAGAAAGCTACACACATTGTGCCCATGTGGGAATTGAACCCAGGCCTTCTGCGTGACAAGTGAATGCATCAACTACTCAGCTACCCTAGGAACCTAAGGGATGAGAGACATGTACCTGGTTGAACATCATGTCTATGTAGATCTCGTTGTCCAGGTGGGTCAGTGGGAAGAACCACACAGTGCGCTGGAAGATCAGGTCGAATTCATTCTTCTCCCGGGCAAACTGGGCGGTCACATCCAGGATGTACTCCTCCCGGCTCAGCTTGTTGAACTTGCCGTCCCCTGTAAACACGGAGATGTTACAACATGAGCTGTGTGTTGCCAGATGTCACACAAACAATTTCAGATAATCATGAGTAATGCAAACCTGAAAACAGTTTAGTTTACATACCATAGGCTAAACAATTTAGCTTTTCTTTTCTTCTTTGCAAATTGTGTGAGTGACAGTGCTAACTGTAGGGCAGCAAACTTTTCAAGAACACCTGGTGTCATCACTGATTTTCAGCAAATCAATTCATCAAATTTTCACTGCTATTACGTCTTCTATGACCAATGGAATCTACTTCGGTGGATAACTAAGACTAATACATTTATTGTTATCACATCTGCTACAAGGGGATCTTTTCTTTATTAATATTCACTAAGATCACAGACATTTGATTTTGAGAGCAGTGTAAGTTGATGATGAATGCAGGTGGACTTACTTGTCCTCATGAAGAGGGTGTACTCTTCCATCTCAATGGGGTCAAAGATGTTGAGATCTCGACAGATGATATCAATGGCATCTAGCACGATCTGATAATGGAATCACAATTCAAAATCAACAGTTCAAACTAAAGGAAATTCATGTGAACATTTACAAAAATGGTTAGAACTGGTCTTGGAGAGTCTTGCCAACATCTGGCTCGATGAACTAAACTTTGTCTTACCGTGCAGGATTTGACCTGTAGCATTCCCCCCTGGGTGTCCGAGCCACTGTAGATGAACGGGAAGCGTTTCGAGTTCCTTCCATCCTACAACAGCAAAAACAGTCAGTCAGTACTCCAGTGACAAAGGTAATAAAGCACAGATACACTTCTGAGATAACAAGGATCATAATCGGGGCAAATCTGGGATTCAAATCCATTATCAGCAGATCCTGGTGCATTTAAGGTATGCAACTCTGCACTGTGAATTGCTGCTCCTTTAAAAGACCACTGGGCACCAGTTCCCTAACATCAAGCAAAGGGTACATGTAATAGGTAATGTAAAGACACAAGATCCATCTGCTCCGATATCCTGAAGGTAACATTCTAAAAGGACAGCCCAACTCACCGCCAGAGCTTGCACCTCCTCTTTCAGGGGTGTGTTCTTCCGTCCGCCAAACTTGAACGTCTTCCGAATGTTCTGCAGACACAGGGCAGCAGCATCTGTAACAGAATCATCCAGACATCAGAGACTGGCATCATTGTCCCTTCATATCATTGCTAACAAATATGTCTAGGTAAGGAAATGTGTCTGAATGAAACAGGAAGGCTGCACAAGCAACAAATATCTCATAGACAAGGTATTGTCAATAACCTAAGTGATTGTGTGATTTGTTTGCACTTGTAAGTATGATTTGTTTACTTGATATTATGCTTTGTTATACATGCATGCTACATCATCTGTTGTAGGTGGTGCTTGGCTGTCTTTACACTGTTGGGACACTTGGATATACCACACTTCAGACATCAAGTGTCATTACCGGTACATTGTCCATTTTGGTATGCCTTGCAGTGCATGTTTTCATGAAGTGTAATGGTAGTACTTAGAGACTAGACCCGTGAAGATCCGGGGTAGAACAGGTCTTCAGCAACCCATGCTTGCTGTAAAAAGTGACTATGCTTGTTGTAAGAGGCAACTACAGGATCGGGTGGTCAGATTCAGTGACTGTATTGTCTGGTCCAGACTTGATTATTTACATACAGACTGCAGTCATACAACTGGAATACTGCGGAGTGCTGTGTTAAACAACAAACAAACAAAAACAAAACAAACAAAAATAGAGACTAAATGGGCTTTAAACTACCACCCCAAATCATGACAAGGAGAATTATGGTTAACAATTTCTTTTTTATAAATACACAATGTTACTTCTTGCCTGTTCATGAGTTGAATGATGTTGTTCAAAATACTCCTTGTCAAGATTACATCCAAATTCTTAATGGCTACAATGACTCTCATACCACCACAAATTAAATTACCACATACTCCACAACTTGTGATAGAGATACCAAGATATTTGATACTATCTTCAAACACATATTATTTATACTCAGTTGATGTATCATTTCCTTATCAAACAGAGTGTAGTATATGTTGCTCAGTCCTTAATATCACTGTGACGGAACTCACTGCTGTAGTGGCGGGAGGTGTCTGAGGCCGTCGTCTCCAGATACTTGAACAGGTACGGTCGCAACATCTCCGAGCAGTCACTGAATGCAGCGATCAGCGCAAACAGCCTCCATCCACGGGTGGCACTGCGACTGTAAGGGGATTGCAGTGTCATCAAAGGAACACATGACACCATCTTATACCAGCCTTCAATCACTACCCCACATTCAATATACAACACTCTTTCAATAACTAACAGACTGGATATGAAAAATGTCCACACAAATGGTCATGTGATGAATGTCTAAAATCTCTTTCTTCTTCCCCAACAAAATATTATAGTCAGCAAAAAATCCCACACTGCACACAATAAGAAGTTGAAATCAACAAGGTGTTCTTATCAGTTCTTATAAGTTCAGCTTCATGTGGCTATCTTAAAATGGCTGTGAACATCACTATTTCACATGGACTTTGCTTGTCGTAAGAGGCGACTAACAGGATCGAGTGGTCAGGCTCGCTGACTTGGTTGATGCATGTCACCATATCCCAGTTGCGTGGATCAATGCTCATGATGTCAATCACTGGATTGTCTAGTACAGACTCGATTATTTACATATCGCCGTCATATAGCTTGAATATTGCCAAGTGCAACGTTAGACAACAAACAAACAAACATATGGTGGAACCCCCTTTACTATGGAAAGCTCACTGCACAGGTTACAGCACTTGTTCCACTTGACGGTGGAGGTTTGTAACAGTGCTGTCTGTATCAACACGGTCCACCATACTCTCACACACTGTTGGGTTACCAGTCACATATAGGTTCTGTATAAGGGATCAACTGGAGATGTTCAGTTGACAGCTAACTCCAGTGTGTTTTGTACGAGATGTGTCCAACATTCTAAGATTGAGGCACTCACGGTTTCATGCTCCTGTTGCTGGTGGTCTGTTTACACAGCTGACAGAAAACTTCGTCCCTCAGCTCGGGGTACTTGTGACAGCTCTGTAGCAGGACAGAAAGCCAGCATGTACTTACTTCCCTTTGGAGTTGTCCAAAAAGTGGACAGTCTTTTAAAAGTTTAGCAAAGACAAATCGAAAGTAGCATTAGCATAGGCAGATCCAAAGAAAGGTCCAGGGGGTACACCCTTTTGAAAAAACAAATGTAGTCAGTTGTAGGCAGGAAAAATAATCTGGAGAGAGGATTTCGATATTTTGGACCCCTCCCTTTAAATAATGGTGGATTCGCCAGCCCATGATTAGTTCTGCAGGAGACAGTACAACACATCAATTCTACTCAAAAGAAGCTAAAGAACATCCAATTCTTACACATTACTATAGTAAATCCGTCATAGCATGACAGATTAACTGTAGTAAGATGAATGAATCGGATGTTCTTTAACTTATTTTGAGTAGCATATATCCATGGGCTACAAGCTGTTCTCGGTGCAGACAGGCTACTATCTCAGTAAATGCCTTCACAGGATGGTGATGTACCTACCTTGAGAATTCTCATCACACAATCGTAGTCGGTTATGTTTGTCTGTTTTGGGTAGTCCTCCATGAACATCATTATGGCTGAAACATCACACATCACATTGTTGTAAAGACAGACTTGAACACACAAATCTCTCTATTTCCATATCTCTGAACATAAAACACCAAGAGAAGATTTCAAGGAGACAAAAACATTTTACTAAAAAATATCATGTAAATTCTTGTGAATAGAATATATATGTAAAGAGTTGTCTCCCTTGAGATTCTTGTCATTAGAGTTGCCTCCCTTGGCATGTTTTCAAATTCATAAAAAGGAACGTTTTGAGGTTGACTTGTTACTTACCCATGAAGCACTCGAGACCCAGCTTGTTCAGCTCTGAAGGTTGTAGTTTAAGCAGGGAGGCCTGGATTGGTGACTGCAGGAGGAACAATTCAGGAGTTACACAGTGATACACACTTAGACACAGTGAGTGACAGCAACAGTCCAACTACTAACTTCATTATTCTGATTATGTACTTTTTATCTTAAAAGAACATTATCAACTTAGATCAAATGTTATTTTTTGGAACTTTTGTTATCCTTTGTTATATCAAACATGAGTGAGTGAGGTTTTACGCCGCTTTTAGCAATATTCCAGCAATATCATGGCGGGGGACACCACAAATGGGCTTTACACATTGTACCCATGTTGGGAATCGAACCTGGGTCTTCAGGGTGACGAGTGAACGCTTTAACCACTAGGCTACCCGACCGCCACATGAACTGAGTTGAAATAATGCATTGTGGTACAGGTTGTATCATGAACAATGTATATCGTGAGTCTGGTGTTTCCTCCAGCCCAAGAAGTGCCTATCCATGTCTCACCCGAGTCCACTTGATCAGTTCCGCCTGTTCCTTCCATGTCCAATCAGATGACCCTATTGCAGATATGTCAGTGTCAATGTCATTCACTAATGACAAGAATTATGTTTGTGGGCCTTACCTCAACTTCACATTTACGACTGAAGTCCCCCCGAAAAATCATTAGTTTCACGACTTTCAAATTCACAAATCACAAGGATGTAAAACTGACAATTAGTTTTTAAGTTTTGATTCATAATCCATCAATGGGTCATAAGAGTGCATTGGTTTAGCAGTTTGTTCCCATGTTCGAAATTCACCGGAGCCAGGTGTCTGTCTAAATCAAGAGTTAGTGAATGTGGAAAACTAACTTGTTTTTTAATTCAGTATTTTCCTGAAGAAAACCTGAGGAAAATTATTTTCCAAAATAAGATGTTGTCAGGTCAGGTTTTCTTCACAACTGTTATATTTCGCAATTTAATAAGAGAGTTGCTACACTTAGTATTTACAGAAGTGGAACATACAGAATGCAGGATGAACATCTACCTGTGACTTCACACTCAAAGGGTGAACATATATCTACTTGAGACTTGACCCTCAAAGGGTGAAAATACATCTACTTGAGACTAGACACTCAAAGGGTGAACATATAATTATCTACTTCCGACTTGACACTCAAAGGGTGAACATTTATCTACTTGAGACTTGACACTCAAAGGGTGAACATATATCTACTTGAGACTTGACACTCAAAGGGCGAACATATATCTACTTGAGACTAGACACTCAAAGGGTGAACATATAATTCTCTACTTCCGACTTGACACTCAAAGGGTGAACATATATCTACTTGAGACTTGACACTCAAAGGGTGAACATATAATTCTCTACTTCCGACTTGACACTCAAAGGGCGAACATATATCTACTTGAGACTTGACACTCAAAGGTTGAACATATATCTACTTGAGCCTAGAAATTCAAAGGGTGAACATAAAATTATCTACTTCCGACTTGACACTCAAAGGGTGAACATATATCTATTTGAGACTTGACACTCAAAGGGTGAACATATAATTCTCTACTTCCGACTTGACACTCAAAGGGCGAACATATATCTACTTGAGACTTGACACTCAAAGGTTGAACATATATCTACTTGAGCCTAGAAATTCAAAGGGTGAACATATAATTATCTACTTCCGACTTGACACTCAAAGGCTGAACATATATCTACTTGTGACTTGACACTCAAAGGCGGAACACAAACTGCTCAATCCGATGCTGTATGCCATGCAGCCAAAACACATGCAAGCACATGGCCAGAAAAAGCTGACACTTTGTAAAACACTTATACTGACAAACATGTCTTGGACAGAACAAATGCCCATTCCACACAGAACACGAAGTGAACCAAAGACATGCAAACACTTCATCCAAGTTCTAACACTGCATCGTAACATTTACAGCTATACAAGCTCACAATTCAAACCCATGCATCATGCCTTGAAGATTGACGGGTTAAATATCGATAAAAAGAGTAAGGGGAATATACTTAGAGATGAAAGGTTTAATGAGATCTTACAAGACGACATATTTTCATTACTAATCTAATTATAATCAGATATTATGGCCCTGGTTTCACATTTTACTAATGTTTGTTGTATGAAGTTACAGCTAAAAGAAATTCTAATGTTATTAAATGAAAGATGGGACTGAAATGACAGGGGGTAAACTTAATAATCCTCAACATAGTATGGACATTATTATTCTACATTTTGAACTGCCTGTTTACATTCAATTTTGATATCCCAAAGTCAAAAATGATTTCAGAAGAAACTGACTGACTGATTAGAAGGTTCACTTGACATGACCTTATAAGGAGTGTTTACTTGACATGTCCTTATAAGGAGTGTTTGTCAGATCCTGATGGAAAGAGGTTTCAAGTTGAAGTAAACAATGGGATTTAATGAGCTTGTTCTATTACATGATTGTGTTTACTAAACAACAATTCTTACAAAGAAAACAATGATAAGTTTCATAATTGCAAACACACAATATAATTATTCTAGGTGAGTACAAAAGAAACAACAAAGAAAGTCAAAAACAAAAATGAACAATTAAAAAACAAAGAAGTGAAATAAGTTCTGATACATGATTATTACAAGAGCCCAGTACATGCTGGAGTGTTATTGTTAGTATCATACTACAAGCTTCCTAACCACGCTGTTATTGGCTGTTAGATGCAGGACATGGGAGTTACATGTATATAGGTTATACAAGAGTAGTTATCAACAACATATTCAAGGCTGTGACACACATAAATACATTCAGTCAAAAATAAAACCGTGTGATAATTCTGTAAAATGTATTCATCTATTTCATGTTAAATTCAGTAATGACCGATGTGTGTATCGTCACAGCTTTGACTACATCGTCTCTAACATGAAGAGTTAATGAAGCAAGCACCGCACCATCACCTCGATGAGGCCGTTGTTGTAGCTGCTGCTGCTGCAGATTACGCAGCTTCAGACTCTCGATCATCTTAATGGTTCCTCGTATCGATCCATCATCTGTCCGCATCATCTCATACCTAAATACAAATCAGGTTAGCATAATAGGGAGGCGGGTTAAATATTGTATCAGCTCTAGGTAAGCTCAATGTGAAATCAACGGAAAACCGGGTTTTAGTTAGAATCCAATTCCGTTTAAGGAAAGTGATAAATTGACAACAACCCGGTTTTCCAGTTGATGTCTCATTGCAATGATCCTCCACAGCGGAGTCCCTGAGTGTGATGCACTGCGATGGAGTATAGGACGTACATGGTGTCGATCATACAACACAGGGACTCAACTGCAGTGTTGACACATGCCTGAGACAATTACCGACATATTGGTGCGGAGTTGTGGCGGGGTTGGTCATCAGGTTTTCAACCCATACTTCAATATCACATCAAATTTACACTCATGTGTGGAAACAAGTTGTAGGGTTAACTATGGGTTATCCCCCTTCACTGACATTGACATTGATCCTTGACCTTTGACTAACATCTTTCGTAATTTGATGGCACAACAAAAGAACTTAAACAATTTAAGATACTAGCATCAGACAAACTTGAAATCTGAACATTCCCCATCCCACCCATTTGAAATCCCCCCATCCCCAAGCTGGAATCTTCCCCACACAATCAGAATCTACCCTTCACAAATGGACTCTTCCTTACACGATCAGAACTTTCCCCACTGAATCAGAGAGCTTGCCACCTAATCAGAATCTTCCTCACCCAATCAGAGAGCTTCCCCCTAATTAGAATCTACCCAAAACAAATGGACTCTTCCCCAAACACAATCAGAATGTTCCTCATTCAAACAGAACTTTCCCACTTAATCAGAGAGTTTGCCACCTAATCAGAATCTTTCTCACCCAATCTGAACTTTCCCCACTGAATCAGAGACCTTGCCACCTGATCAGAATCTCCCTCACCCAATCAGAGAGCTTCCCCCTAATTAGAATCTACCCTAAACAAATGGACTCTTCCCCAAACACAATCAGAATGTTCCTCATTCAAACAGAACTTTCCCCACTGAATCAGAGAGTTTGTCACCTAATCAGAACCTCCCCCCCAATCAGAGAGCTGCTCCCCTCCCCGCCACAGACTGCAGCAGGAACATGTGGTTTGTCTCAGCATGTGGTACACAGTCGTGCTGACGGTGAGGTGTACAGTCAGACATGCTGTTCTGTGCCGGCTGTAGATGCAAGGTATAGACAATAAGAAACATGTCTGGCTAACCAGAGGAGCTAGCCTCTCTCAAGTGCTGCATTACCTGTGCGGATATCTCGAGACGGACCTCGTGCATGTCTGCAATGTGACACATGTTTTAACAACATTGTATTCTGTTTGTGAAAATAGTATCCTGCTTAGCGAATGTAACATTTGTATAACACTGTACTCAAGCTTATATAAACCCAAACAGAATGTTTAAACTTTAAATTATATATAATTTGATAAATAATAACATATTTCATATATTAATATTTGATAATATTACAAAATTAACAAAGCCACATGTTGAAGCAATATTTATAAATGAAGTTGTTAAAATTATTGTATTGCAACTTTAAGTTTTGTCTTGTTAATGCAATATTTGTTTACAGGTCCTTATTTGAAAGGAAAGCCTGAGCAAGAATTTCAAGATTGTTAAGAAAGTTTATTTAGTTCATAAAGCAAGAGACACCATTTAGATTATGCCTGAATGATAGTAAACCTATTTTCATATTTACACATAATACAACAGTCTCCCTCAATCATAAATAAAATAATTTTGAAATGAGTTTGACATGTCACAAGTTCATTCACAACAAAAAATTATAAAAATTATAAAATTGAGACGTGTGAATAACAGGCCATTGATGCTGTGAAAAAAATTGTCACTTCTAACACCAGTGTGCACTGTAACCTGTGTCTCTGTACTACTGCAGAATAACCCCGTAGATGGTAGGTCAGTATGAAGCTGGAATACTGCTAGCAGAAAATAAATTACCTCTGACGCAAGGAATGATCGGGAATCCTGAAATAGGTCATAGTCGTTGAAACATTGTATTGTAATGTGAGCTCTAACTAGTCCCTGAGTCAACTAGAAACACTACGACTTTATCACAATCCTAATAAAAATTATGGATAAAATCATGATATTATTGTTTAGGTTTTCTGGCACTGTAAAGCTTTAATGTATTAAAACATTTCATGATGTGCATACCTATCTTTACCTGTACATTCCTCAATACCTTCACTGCAGAACATGTATATTGAGTATATTCCAACACAGATATCTTGGAGAAAGTGAGGAAGTGGTATTAATACCCTCTACAGAGGAGACCTACACAAGGCATCAGACTAAGACTGGCCATCCAGTCTCTCAGTGAAGACCTACTCAAGGCATCAGAATAAGGCTGGCCATCCAGTCTCTCAGTGAAGACCTACTCAAGGCATCAGAATAAGGCTGGCCTTTCAATACCTCAGTGGAGACCTACTCAAGGCATCAGACTAAGACTGGCCATCCAGTCTCTCAGTGAAGACCTACTCAAGGCATCAGACTAAGACTGGCCATCCAGTCTCTCAGTGAAGACCTACTCAAGGCATCAGAATAAGGCTGGCCTTTCAATACCTCAGTGGAGACCTACTCAAGGCATCAGACTAAGACTGGTCATCCAGTCTCTCAGTGAAGACCTACTCAAGGCATCAGACTAAGACTGGCCATCCAGTCTCTCAGTGAAGACCTACTCAAGGCATCAGACTAAGGCTGGCCATCCAGTCTCTCAGTGAAGACCTACTCAAGGCATCAGACTAAGGCTGGCCATCCAGTCTCTCAGTGAAGACCTACCAAGGTGTCAGAGTAAGACTGGCCTTTCAATACCTCAGTGGAGACCTACCTAAGGTATCTCACTGGGTACTTCTAAACCAGCATCGGGAACTGGGGGCTTGTCCCACTGAAGAGTTGGCTATTGTGACGTTGATCCAGACATGACATTTTAAGTGTCTGTTCTTTCTATATACACTGGACCCTTTTACTACTATAGCTATTTGAATGATGAAAGAGACAAAGAGCTATTCAATCAAGTTACCGACAAAAGAGATGGCTAAAGGTGACATCTCTTATCACATAAGGTAGTGAATTTTTCAGCCCAAGCTACTGTCATCATGTCATTCACTCACTCACTCCAACATGAAGACAAGATCCTTCCACTGCACAATACATCCTTTAAATAGGCAGAGTATCACACCTCTTTCTCAATGTCTAACAAATCACACAATTAATGCTTTTGTTGTATGACAATATTACTACTTAGTTCAATCGCCATCTTCAAACTTTCTATTTTAATTTGACTTCCTCTTTCTAAATTTCACATGAATATTTCAACATTCCTACCAAATATCTGAAAAACAAATTACCCGTATCAATTCACTGTTACATGTTTTGTGATTTAAAATATAGGAAATGATGTTCTAAGGCTGTGACAAATGTCTTACTTTTCAATCGACTCCCGGAAGTGCAGGAGAGCAAACTCCATCATGGAGTACTTTCCATCAGCCACGACGGTGCCCTGGCTGGTGTCACTGCGGTCATCAGCGTAATGCCCGTCCTGCAACACACACACAATACCTGGAGGAACTGCTGTACACACACGCACACGCATGCACGCACGCACACACGCACACACACACACACACACACACACACACACACACGCGCACACACACGCACACGCATGCACACACACACACACAGGCGCACACACACAGGCGCGCACGCACACACACACACACAGGCGCGAATGCACGTACGCAAACACACTACCTTGAGGAACTGCTGCACAGACAGTGAGTGTATCCTGATAGAACAGCTGCACAGTGTATTACAGGGTTTCAAACTCAATTTGTGGTTTAACACCGCACTTAGCAATATTCCAGTTATATGATGGCGGTCAGTAAATAATCGAGTGACTGACATCATCGATCTACACAATTGGGATACTATGACATGCATCAACCAAGTCAGTGAGCCTGACTACCAAATCCCGATAGTCGCCTCTTACGACAAGCATGGGTTGTGGAAGACCTATTTGAACCCAGATCTTCATGGGTAGTATCACTCAGTTTGTCCCCCAATTGAAGCCTACAGCACATGCTGCACACAATCCATCTATATTACACATCACACTCCGACTAGCTAACTATTTGAGATTTATATGAAAAATGATTATGTGGCTTATGTGACTATGTGAATTTTACATAAGAAATAGAAAGTGCCATGCATGCCATGGTGTGAGACTTACTCGACTTGTTTGCCGTGTCAACTGAACCTGTGATAAAAAAATAAAACAATATTCTCAGAGCATGCAAATAGAAGCAAAGCATTTATTTCTCCAAAATCATATTCAATCTAGTGGAGTCTACAACTATTTGAAAAGAGCTAGTGCTTAACGACAACACTGAAAATTGACATGGAGACAACTGACCTTCATGTTGTTGGTTTCCACCTCATGCCTAGCAAGGGGTTTGACATATTCAGCTGGTAACATGCCAACAAGGCCATTCAGGGACCCATACAACCACCCTACAGGAAAGAAAGACAAACATGAAAGGGTTCCTCTTTACTGACAATAAAAATATTTGAGCTAAAACATGATGGCTTGATGAAGAATCTGTTTACAAGGCCCTCTGTTTTTCCTCTCTTTGTTTCAATTAAGACATAAAAATACCACTGGTCAATGAGTTACTGAAATGACCAGCTAGATGAAAGTTACTATGGAGAGAGAGAGAGAGAGAGAGAGAGAGAGAGAGAGAGAGAGAGAAAGAAGAGAGAGAGAGAGAGAGATCATACAGTAATCACAGTTTCTGAAAGGTGCATACATTGGCAGACAGGGGAGACTACTGTACCTTCATCTAAGGGGAGACTACTGTGCATTCATCTAAGGGGAGACTGCTGTGCATTCATCGAAAGGGAGACTAATGTACCTTCATCTAAGGTGAGACTACTGTACTTTCATCTAAGGTGAGACTACTGTACCTTCATCTAAGGGGAGACTACTGTGCATTCATATAAGGGGAGACTACTGAGCATTCATCTAAGGGGAGACTACTATACATTTATCTAAGGTGAGACTACTGTACTTTCATCTGAGGGGAGAATACTGTCTCTTCATTTGAGGAGAGACTACTGTCTATTCATCTAAGGGGAGACTACTGTACTTTCATCTAAAGTGAGACAATTGTACCTTCATCCAAGTTCATCTCAGGGTCCAGGAGCTTGATGATGTCCCCACGGCGGAAACTCAACAGCGTGGACTCCCTCGTCACGTAGTCCCGGATGGCAATAGCGTACTTGTTGTCCTGTTGGTGAACACATGCCATCATCACAGTAGGTGCCTACTCAATGTATCTGGTGAACAGTTCACTGCAATGTTCCCTGTTCTACTTCTCCAGGGATGACATTGAACTCATCATACAACAAACTCATAATTAAAGTCCCAGGGAGCATGTCTTGTGTTGGCTGTTCATATTCAACATCTTAATCTTAATCGGCTGATCTGAACAAAAACTCAAAAAACAAACACAATCTCTGATTGCTATTCCTCATTTTTAAGAATATTAGAATACATGTATCCAAATTATGTAAGATGACAAGTAAAAGGTCAGTTACACTTCACAGCACATGCAGCCACTACCAACAGTCTAGGAATTATTGCAATGTTAACACTGCAAGGCAGAGAAAACAAATCAGTTTGTCACTTCAAGCACATGTTTTCAAAAAGCCATAAAATGGTCGAGCAAAGCATAAAGGGTAATCCAATATTAACTTCAAAGAAACCAAAATGACCTCAGCTGCAAGTTCCCTGAATACGAGGGTCATTAGGGAGAACTTGATACCCTACTTCGACAGAGTAACAATTACATCACAGTGACTCAACAACTGTGTGTGAGAGTTGGTGCCTTGAATATTATCTCAGTTTACAGAGTTTTGTGAACCAATTTAGTCGAAGACTCTTTTTGTAATACTTGGTTTATAAAGTTTGACCGAAAATTCAACATTGGTCGTAAAAACAAACCCACTATATTCCTATTTCCAGATTAGTACTGCTGCTGATAAATGAAAAGTTAATATGTTTTTAGATGGCAAAATTAAAATATACTGACTGCGATTTTTTTTAGAATACAGAGATGACAAACCAACCCCCTCACCCCATGTTAAATTTTTTTTCTGAGGGTTTTTTTTGTAGTCGGTCTCGTAAAACAGCTTTAAAAAATATACACAGCTTAAAGAAAAATATAAGTAAAGTTTATAGCTAAAAATATTTTATGGTAAAAAGTTGTTCAGGGTCAATCGGTTCAGTGGGAAAAACTAATACTCAGCTTGATGTAAGGTACTTTACAGTAACATGGATATATATTTACTTTTATGTAGACTTATGTTGTAATGGAGGTGTGTCGATCTGGGAAGGAGCTTGTGTGCATTCATCTAAGGGGAGACTACTTTACCTTGATTTAAGGGGAGACTATTGTACCTTCATCTGAGGGGAGACAACTGTACCTTCATCTAAGGGGAGATTACTGTACTTACATCTGAGCTGAGGCTACTGTACATTCCAAGCTCCTTCCCAGCGCGTGACACCTTCGTTACACTCCCGGTAACATCGCTGCCACCAGTGTGGGCGCGGCCATTACAAGAATCTTGAAATTTGCCCTCTAATCCCAAATGCAGTAACGTTGATACTTTTGTTTATGTCTTTGGGGATGCCATCATATTTCATTTTGAAAAGGTTTATGACTGACCATATTTTCCAAATGAATTTACTTTGTTGTTTTAATAATCAGATTGGTTCGAGATTGCAGACTAACGGAAAATCAACCAACTTCTCCCTTACATTCTTACTATATCAACAACAAGAATGTTTTAATGAAACAGAAATTCAAATTGACAAACAAAGAAAGTAATTTAGCAGCGATAAGTGTATTTGGCGTCACGACAGTCGTCACTTGTTTGTAAACATAACGGTCATTCGGTTGCGAGTTCAACTCCAAGCATGGTTGTGGCCACCTATTCACAGTGGGGAGTTTTGAGTGGTGGCAGCGATAGTATAGAGAGCTCCGGGAATGTACTATCGCTGTGAGGAGCTTGCTGTACATTCATCTAAGGGGAGACTACTGTCCCTTCATCTAAGGGGAGACAACTGTACATTCATCTAAGGGGAGACAACTGTACCTTCATATATTTACTTTTATGTTGATTTTGTTCTCTTTATACAAGGTTTGCAGTAGCCAGAGACTAAACAAGTTCAATGTATCTGATCATTACCAAAGTTGACAGTTACATTATTTTGTAGTTATTGTCGCTGAATCCTCTTCTGTTTCAAAAAGATCAAAGATAGGGTGGTCATCTTTAGCTGTAGGTTAGACAAATCTGTAACACCCCACCCCAGAGTGTCACCTTCATAACACACACATTATTTACACTGTCCAACAAGCATTTCACACAAGGTTAGTGCAATAATTTCTCCACATTGCTTTGAATGATAGTGGGCACCTGACAATCTCATCAAATAATCAAACTATTTTATACGGATCAGTGTAGATGAATACAGTCATGTCCCGTTAATCCAACATTGTTGGTTTCATATCATTATGTCGGATTAACGAGTATGTCGGATAAACGAAATTAAGTAGTGTCAATGTTCGTGATCGAAAATTGGATAACTACTAGATAGATAACGATATGAACAAGTAATAAAAAAGGAAAAGGAAATATTCATATTGTTGTGTTACATCGTCAGCGGAATATGTTTTCCTGTTAGTAATTTCATTGGTCAGTCAAAGTTCGCGAGGGTTGTTCTGACGTAACCTGTAATGGGATGTCCTCAGCGGTAGCGAGAACTTGTATCCAATTTTAATGAGATTCAGGTAATCTAGGCATGTGATTAATCCTGTTTTGTTTATTTAAAGCAGTAATTGTTTATTGTTAAGCAAGTTTATCTCTGCAGCCATTGAAATATGCAGCTACTCGCAGACTCGTCTTGCATCAAAACACGGGGCTGTGTACTCGCGGGCAGATGACCACACAGTTAGCTGATCACTGACTGATTTCAGCAATTCGTTGCAAATTGGTGTGTCGGAGTCGGAGTGCGAGACTGTCGATTAACGGGTCCAAATAGCACCGATTTAATCGGTTCCCATCATTTGTTCGGATAAAGCCGATTGTCGGATTAACGAGTGTCGGATAAACGAGACTTGACTGTATATTACATACTAGCTGTTCTTATACATTCATGTACAGTGTGTCATCTCTACTGGCCAAGCAGTGATACAATTGATTTCCCAGTACTTAACTCGGTATTACTCAACGTGGCAACTGTTAGAATAACTGTTATTGTGAGGTATGGTTTGCTGTTTTAGGAAACAAATTGACAGTGAAAGCAATCATTTCTGAGGCTTCCCAGACACAGATCTGCTGTGATACAGCTGGATGTAGATGGAGAGCCGAGGACAGACAAAGTGACAGTATTAGTGCATTCCCATCACACAACTTAAAGAGGGACATTATTTCAAAGTAAACAAACACAGGCGATTAAGAAAAGACTTGGTTTTCACTCACCATCTTTTTTTTTATGAAAAAGATTATTCAGAATGTTTGAGTTAATAAGAACTTTCAGTCACATTTAAACATTTCATTTTAAACTGTAATTACTAAAAATTGAGGTTACGGGTGATTTGGAGAGATTGCTGGGGAATATGAGAATTGTACCCAGGTCTTGGGCATGATGCGTTAAAAATCTAACCACAAAGCTACCTCGCCACCTGTTGGGTAAGCATGAGTGTGGCCGTGGCTCTATGGGGGTTGTGGGTGTCACTGGGGTGCAAATGTGGATGGGGGTGAGTGAGTGAAGGGGTGGGTGCGATTTGGTGTGTGGGTGTGGTTTTGGGAGTTGGTGTGGATGAAGATTTGGGTGTGGATGTGATTGGGGGTAGATGGGGGTGGGGGTGAGTGTAGGGTATGTGGGGTTTTGTGTGTCAGGGTGTTGTTGTGGGTGTGGATTGGTTTCATTGTTTGTTTGTTTGTTTGTTTGTTGTTTTACGCCGACTCAGTAATAATCCAGCTACATAACGGTGGTCTGTAAATAATCGAGTCTGGACCAGACAATCCAGTGACTGATTTCATGAGCATCGATCCACACAACTGAGATCGATGACATGCTTCAACCAAGGTAGCGAGCCTAACCACCTGATCCCGTTAGTTGCCTCTTACGATGTGATATGGACGATGGGGGTGGATGGGGGTTGGGGTAAGTTTAGAGTGTGTTGGGATTGTGTGTCAGGGTGTGGTTGTGAACATGGTTGTGGTTGTGGTTATGGTTGTGGTTGTGGGTTTGGGTGTGGGCGTGGGCGTGGGCGTGGGTGTGGGTGTGGATTTGGGTTTGGGTGTGGGTGTTGTTGTGGGCGTGGGTGTGAGTGAGGGTGACATGTTGAACAATTGTCTTAATTCATTAAATGAAAAGAAACATCAAGCCAAATATTAACAGCATATACAAGATGAGTTTCCACCCCCATACTACGTGCAGTCATCTGATGTGAATCAGTCATACATCTAACTGTATACAATACAAGGGTGCAACACACTACATCTTCATATGGCTATGTCTCACAGAACGGACAACAAGAAAACAACACTTGCTTCAGTTCATACTGCTAGAAAAATGACAGTAGGCTTACCTTCTCACTCTCCTGGCAGAACTTGTCCACCATATCCTTCATCTGCTGGGCCTGGAAGACAACAGAGAAGTTAAACATACATATAATCTAACATATCTGTTATTTATTGTCAACACACAACATTAAATGTACATCTTCTGTCCACACCAGAGTAGCCTCCCCATTATGCTGGCGTCAAGGAGGATGTAGATCAACCCACATTCTGACATTCGCATCATTAATTTCCACATTATTCTTCACATTGGAATCTAGATGAAGTGGCCTCTGTAGAAATTAAAAAATGAAGAGAACAAACAAGCTTGCTACATGTGACCAACACGCATCAGACTCCCCCACTATCTCCATATTATTCTTCACATCGGAATCTAGATTAAGTGGCCTCTGTAGAAATTAAAAATGAAACAAACAAGCTTGCTACATGTGACCAACACTCATCAGACTCCCCCACTCTCTCCATGTGCCGGTGAATGAAGTTGTAATTGTTGGGCTTAAAGCTATGACGATAGGTAAGGGTGACATTGCTAGTGAGAAGGCCTAATTGTTTTGCAAACAGTGCTTAGTAAAAACAATTCTGGCGTAAAGGCCTCACACTTTGTCATGAACGGTCTCGCAAATAATTGAAAAGGGTCTCAGAAATAATCAAAAAGGGCCTCATAAAAAACAAAAAGGGTCTCAGAAATAATCAAAAAGGTCTCACAAATAATCAAAAAGGGTCTCACAAAAAAATCAAAAGGGACTCACAAAAAATCAAAAAGGGTCTCACAAATAATCACAAAGGTATCGCAAATAATCAAAAAGGGTCTCACAAATAATCAAAAAGGATCTGACACAATATAATGAAAGGTCTCACACAATCTGAATGTCTCGTATGATGGGTCTCAAACATGACACCCAAGGCAAAACAATATCCTTTTTCTGGTTTCCAACTCTTGTACTACAATTGTTCACATGCTCATATGATCAGCAAACCTTATACTTTGTATGTGAAAAATATAAACTATACAAAATAAAATGAGAATTGAATCACTGTACGAATGTATCAAAGTTAGTCAAACCCGAAATATAAAAAAAGACAGTGTAAATACCTTCATACACCAGTACATAGTAGAGTCACAAACAATCACATATACAGTAAACTATGGTTATAATGAACTCAAAAAGACCACAAATTTTAGTTCGCAATAACCGTAGTTCGTTATAAGCATATATATAGCATAGATACAACAAATGGCCTGGACTATAAAATTAGTTCGTTATATCACTCAGTCCGTTATAAGCGCGTTTGTTCTAAACATAGTGTACTGTATCACATTCAGCATAAAAACACACTTGTCCTATAAACATTTTCTTCATAAAGCGGTAAAAAATCTGGAAACATATCTTGTCAACAATTATCACACAAAATTAACAATTCAATAAAACTCTGCCAAAGATCTGATTATTCACTTAAAATTCACCCAAATGATAACACACGTAATACAATCTCCCAGCCAGAAGCAAGACTAGTGTTTCACCTGGGAGTCCAGTGTCCTGTACAGTGTCTTGCGGTGGGGAATATCCAACACAAGTAGTCATGTTTCTCCAGCTAAAAACTGTTAAACTTCATGACACTCTGGGTAATAAATGTGGCAGTCTGACAGCCCTGGAGGTGACACAGGAAACATTTGTCGTGTACACAAACACCTGTAGCTAGGGCAGAGTGGGGGCTAGTGCCACTGACTGACTGCATGTCCGTTAGGTCAAGATAACGTCAGCCCAGGTCTACTGCCATGCTTAAGTAACCACATGAGATTGCCTGGTCTCTAAATGATATTGTATCAATAGATGTGATTTTATTATATCACTGTCACTGATATATTTGATTTATTGGTTTAAGAGATTATTCTTGTAGTTACATTATTTTCAATTACATCACCTTACCTGGAGATAAATATTGCATACTCTTGTCAAAAGCACAGATATTCTCAAAGAAATCATAAATTGTCTTTTAAAGAGTCACCTACATTCGCACAACTTGTACAGCAGACACAAATTGGGAAAAAAAATATTTGATAAAATAAAACTTTTTTCCTTAAATACAGGCTCCAACTAACGACTTCAGACTAACACCTAACATAAAGTGTAGTTTTATCAGGGAATATCAAGTGTACTTAGAGTGAGTGAGTGAATATGGTTTTACGCCGCTTTTAGCAATATTCCAGCAATATCACGGCGGGGGACACCAGAAATGGGCTTCACACATTGTACCCATGTCGGGAATCGAACCAGGGTCTTTGGTGTGACGATCGAATGCTTTAACCACTAGGCTACCTGACAGCCCCAAGTATACTTAGAATGGGAACAGTTAGCTGATGAGTAAATGGATTATTGTGTTAACTTGCTAACAGCCCAAATTCCTATGGTACTGACCTCCTTATCAACAAACCTCTTTATCAAGATGTCATTAACAAATCTCTTTACCAGTACATCCACACATACCAGTACATCCACACTAACCAATACATACCAGTACATCCACACATACCAGTACATCAATGCATACCAATACATCCACACATACCAGTACATCTAAACATACCAATACATCCACACATACCAGTACATCCACACATACCAGTACATCTACGCATATCAATACATCCACACATACCAGTACATCCACACATACCAGTACATCCACACATACCAGTATATCTACACATACCAGTACATCCACACATACCAATACATCCACACACACCAGTACATCCACACATACCAATACATCCACACATACCAGTACATCTACACATACCAATACATCCACACATACCAGTACATCCACACATACCAATACATGCACACATACCAGTACATCTACACATACCAATACATCTACACATACCAGTACATCCACACATACCAATACATCCAAACATACCAGTACATCTACACATACCAATACATCCACACATACCAGTACATCTACACATACCAATACATCCACACATACCAGTACATCCACACATACCAATACATCCATACTTACCAGTACATCCACACATACCAATACATCCACACATACCAGTACATCCACACATACCAGTACATCCACACATACCAATACATCCACACATACCAGTACATCCAAACATAAACAAAACCCCATGTACCCCGAGTGATCCTGCTACAACATATAGTGTGTGGTGTTAGTGCCTGTGAGGCGAGACTGTTATTTCACCTACCCGCTGAGTGAAGAACATGATGGACTTGGTCTTCAGGTTGAGCTGCATGGTCATGCTGCTGGGCGTCACGGTGTCCACCACATCACCAAACCTGCAGGAGAACTCAGTGTTTCAGCTGACACTCACTACATGGCATGATGGATGCAAATACAGTATACTACTCTTACAGCAAACTCAAAGGGACTGCTAACTTTAGTTTGTTCTAACCGAAGTTCGTTATAAGCATATATACAGCAAATGGCCGAGTCACGTCGTTATAAACGTGTTCATTATAAACATAGTTTACTGTACATCAAGGCCGTAGTTAACTTTTTTTGACAGGGGGGGGGGGCAAATAAGATTATTCATTTTTTATTCAAGTTAACTTTCACAAGGAAAAATGTTTTCTGTAAAAAATCCAGGGTGGATTTCATATCATCATTTGTGATGAAACATTTTTGAATACATAAAATATAACAAAATATTTTCATACTATTGATAGCAGATTAACACAAATCTACACGAAGCACACATGTAATACTGCAAACCCTTGACAGTTGTTGATGTCAAATTGACACTTTTATGACATATGCTTCAGTACAAAAACCTACTTATAAAATGCAAAAGATTAGAAATTATCACAAGAATATGCATCTTTGATTCACAAGCAAAATTAATCTAGTCAAATTCTGACCAAGTTTCGAGAGAGTGCATCACACTGACTATGAACTCAGAATTCCAGGTAGGACTGGTGAAAGTTTTACACACCTGATTTCCTCGATGACGGACAGATGGTCGTCCATGAACCCCCTCTCTCTGTTGACAAGCCTAATGCCGTTGTGACTCACACCCAGGTACTTCACACCGGTGTAGTGACCGCTGGACTGGAAGGACACACAGACCGTTACACTGTAACCACTCATGTTACACTCTACATACACCATAGTCATCTACCTAACAGGTCCTGCCTGGTACCCATGTAAGACCACCAATTATTAGCTAACAGTGATTATGAAATTCTTGGAAGGGCAGTATCCTGTGTCCCACCTCTGTTGCAGATACCATATTCACCATATTAAGTGTCCTGCTCTAATAAGGGCTCCCTACCAACTTCAAGACAATCTTTAACTAAACTTTATAAGGCATCCCTCATTAAGGCTGAAAAATCTACAGTACAAAAGTTCTTGTTTATCATTTTTTTAGAAAAAACACGACACAGAAGGGTTATATTATTGCCCAGTAAATATTATCGAAAAAGGTTTAGTTTCATCGATGTTTGTTCACTAATGCTCAATCTCTGAAAACAAACTTATTTTGTTGTTTATGGTATTGATAGAACAAGTGTTTCGAGTTGGTCCATTTTTTATGCGAGTATTAATGAAGTAAACTTACAGCAACTGGGAAGAGTCTGCAGAAATAACATGGCCACTCCTTGGCGGTGTCGATCACGATCTTCTTGACTTGGTTGGAGACTTCCTTGGTGATGTAGTTATCCTTGGTTATACCTTGGGCCTCTGGAAGCAGAGACACAACAGTCACTGACTTGCTTCAATCATGTTAGGTCACAATGGAACAGTATCTTTTCTGGACAGGTATTTGTAAAAAATAGAATTCCACAAGTTACTTAATTTAGGCTTAGTTCTCAGGCACCGCCTGCATCGTCATAAAGTCCACCACACGTTTTGTTTTTATTTCCACTTTCCAAAAAAAAACGTCCTCCCGTTTTGAAATAAAATCCAAGCTCTTTGTTTGCATGTATTATGCACACACTTGTAGTCAAATGGTAGTCAATTACTATATTCCAGTATTTTACTCATCAAGGAATACAGTTATGCAGGGACTCTTTTTCCTTGTTGATTGTACACAACTGTTTATTTTGTTACATACTAGTTTGAACAACAACAACAACAACAAAAAAAGCCCTACCCGACCACACCATATTTTCAAAAGCCATTGCCTGAGAACCAATTCTTATATTTTTCTAAGCCTTACAGTTTCTCAATATATTGTCACAACATCAGAGATTAGTGTGACTGACACAGACTAAGAGAGACGTTCCGAGGACAGAAAACCATTGGGATAGATTCAAACTCAATGTAATATTGTGAAGTCATGATAAATATGTATGGACAAGAAGTCCCTACTTTGCTCCAAAGCAGTTTTCCATTATATTAACAATATGGTGTTCTTAGAGGAAGAATCCCACAAATTTACACACAAGAGCCCTGACAGCGTTAAACGTTAAAGTTTCCAACTTCGATGGACATACCGAGATGGCTCTTCATCTTGACCCTGTCATCCTTGGTGATGCGTATACAGCCGTTGTTGTAGACATCCTTCACAATCTGGCAGAACAGCAGGTGCAGCGCCAGTGGCTTCTCCAGTCTCTCTGACGGCCAGAATACCTGCAGCACGTCAACCACACTTGCATCTCCATGGGTGTCAGAAGCAACAATGATGAATGAGAACTAGTTATGTTTGGATTCATTGAAATATTCAAATACTAATCAGAAGGTCCAAAACAACCAAGCAGTAGAACACAAGTTTTCATGACGGAACACAAACGATTTTGCTCCCTCACTTAGGTCCTGAGAAGGTTCATTTACTACTTACTTCCCCGTACTTGAAGACAAGAGCCAGTGTCTTTTGTAAAAAATAACTGCAGAAGTAATTGTGTTCATTTTTTGTTAAGTGTGATCTGATCTCAACACCGTCAAAATGATGTTAAACGATGTGTGTGTTATAATAGTCCATACATCATATTTCCGAGTTTCAGAGTGAGTGAGTGGGTTGAGTGAGTGAATGGGTTGAGTGAGTGAGTGAGTGAGAGTGTCTGTGAGTGAGTGAGTGAGTGAGTGAGTGAGTGAGTGAGTGAGTGAGTGAGTGAGTGAGTGAGTGAGTGAGTGAGTGAGTGAGTGAGTGAGTGAGTGAGTGAGTGTGCCTGCGTCCAAAAATCCAGGTTTCCCTATACTTCCTGTTGCACATGTTGGTGGAGCATCTCTGCACGATTTAGTGGAGCATCAGTACGTACCTCCTTCCTGACTTGCAGCGTCCAGGGCACGCGGTTGTAGGCCAGGAAGAATGTCTTGTTCTGAGGGTACAGCTCTGTGATGGCTCTCTCTAGGGCGGCGTAGTCAATCTGCTGCTTGGGCTCCTCTATCGTAGTGTTGTATATTGGTGACGTCTTGGCGGCTACCTCCACTGTTTGCGTCGTGGTCTCTGTGATGGTGGTGGTGATGTTAGCTGTCACCTTCTTCTTGGGTGGAGGGCGGGAGGGGAGTGGGGGAGCATCACCTGTGTAGAATACATGCAATTTATATTCCAGAACTATTCATGAATCATACTTCCACAGTGAGTATAAACCTTTTTGCTAATACAAGTCACTTCCACCATCTTGAATACAAACTATTTAATTCGAGATCTAAAGCCTTCCCCATTCCAATAATTCTTGGTTGGCAAATTTGTAGAGAACTTCAAAACTCTATTTCATCTGAGCAGCCTGCAGAACATCAGGCTTATACCTGTCATGTACACCATGTTTAAATATTGTTTAAATGTGAGCACCAATCAGCACCACTGGTGGTGGATTTCACACTACATACGTTGGTCACAGCTGAGATGGGGTGATGAAATGGGATTTAATGTCATGTCTCATTCAAGATTATTCCACTTTTGTAGCGACATGCATATACGTGTGTATTTGTGCCTGACTGCTTGTACTAGTCCAAACTAGCTCACTGGGATACCATGTTGCAGTTTAACATGGATTCCCCGCTCAGACACAGCATACTGACACCGAGCCAACTAAGCGTTTTTTTTATCCCCTTAATGTTAAGCGCCAGGCAGGGTAACAACAAGTACCATCTCGTAACGTCATCCCAATCTCAGTATCCTCATGTCATGCTGCTCATTGTTGTGGGGATTCCGTGTTAGAATTGCTCTCCAACAACCTATACTGGACGTAAGAGGTGACTTAATGGATCAGGTGGTCAGGCACTGTGACCTGGTTGATAAGCATGCAATGATATCTCAGTTGAGTGGATGCTCATAATGTCAATCACTGGATAGTGTGGTCCTAACTCAATTATTTACAAACCACCATCATACAGCTGGAATATTGCTGAATGTGGCGTTGAACAAAAAACAACGCTCATGGTTGTAGAGAAGAATGTAGCTTACCTTGAGGTGCTGGAGGTGGAGGTGGTGGTGGTGGTGGTGGTGGTGCGGCTGTTGATGTCTTTGTTGACTTGAGGGTGTCTGTTGTCTGGGTCGCCTCTGCCACTGCCATCACCTTGGGTTTGGGCTCTTCCCGTTTAGCGGCTCCGCCCCCTCCAAGCTTGCTCTCCAAGAGCTTCATGGTGTTGCCATGAGATTCAACCAAGGACTTGGTTTTCTTCAGTGGTGGTTTAGCTTCATCATCAGGTTTCTTCAGGATGGATTTTGGCCTTGTTTCATCAACTTTTGTTTCGACCTTGACAGCTGTCTTCTTACCTCCATACCTGTTTTGCAGGTTAGAGCTGACCTTCTCGTCTATGAGCAGCTTGCCTACTTCTCGCTGATACTTCTCCTCCGTCTCTCTGACAGGTGGCCACACGATGTTGCCAACGCGGATACGAATAGTCTTTGTTTTGTCATTTGATGACACAATTTTTGGTGGTGGAGGCGGGGGTGGTGGTGGAGGGGGAGGTGCCGGGCTGTCTGTCTGCTGGTGGAAGGTGGGGCGAGGAGATGGAATGTCAGCAAACTGTTCTGGTGGTGGAGGAGGAGGAGATGGGTGAGAAGGTGGTGAAGGTGGTGATGGTGGAGACGTTGCCTGCTGATCAGGTTCTTGTGTCTGAGTCTCTATGCCAACAATGCCAAGCTGCTTGTTGCTGCCACCACCTTGCTGTGTCGTGATAGAATACCTGACTGGTTGTTGGGTCTGGCCTTCAAACTTGCTCTTCTGGAAGGCAACCTTTTTACTGGACACAGAAGGAGGTTCACTGGAAACCCCATATCCTCGGTTTCTCTGACCTGGGAACTGGCTGCCAGTGGCAATGGGTTGGCCCGTCTCTGGATGTATGCCTGATGGTGAGGCGGAGGGAAGTCCTGACCCAAAACTGGGAGCAGGGCTGACAATTGGTGTAGGGGTCACCTTGACCTGTTGCAGCTGCTGCTTCAACAGCTCCTGCTCGATGCTCTGCTTTAACAGCTTGTTCTGTAGTTCTTGTTGTGCAAGTGCCGCACGCAGAGCAGAGGTTTGTTGTTGCTGGGACAGAACAGGCTGTTGCTGTTGTTGCTGTAGAGCAGCCTGGAGGATAGCTTGTTGTTGTTGTTGTTGCTGCTGCTGTTCCTGCTGCCGTTGTGCTTGCTGTTATAATGATATTCAAAATGAAAAATATTGGATGATCTATTCATGAAATGTAAAACTGAATCTCTCACATTCCTCTTTCAGTTATGCTCTTGGTGTTCTTACAGCAAACTTACCATGTCAAATGTTGCCTTGGCAAATCCTTGAAATACATTTAAACCTTTAAACATGTATGACAAACTGTGTTGTTTGTATTAGGTGCTTTTAAAGATAATACACACTGAAACCTCAATAACTTGTATTTCTGGGGCACTTAAATATTTATTATCAAATATTTGAATAATTTTTGAGTGTTATTTAATTCTAAAATATATCAACATGAGTTGATAAGTCCTAGTTTGAAACTTTCATTGATGAGTGTCGATATACTGTAAATCGTGAAATTAATGTGTCCCCCTAGACAAAAATGCAACTCAACATGAATGCGACACCCCCCTCCTCTCAAGCTTCAGTGGATTTATATCTCAACAAAATGTCCTCTGTCAGGTTTACAGGAGAACCCTCACCTTAATCCAACCTTACATTAATTCAGTCACACACCAAATAGTACTGCTCACGCTGGCTCAAGTCAAGTCAAGACACTGTGTTGCATGGGTGGCGTCTGTCTGGACTTGCAGGTGTGATCAGTGATGACATAAGCGAGTAGAACTCTTGTCTTGACCCCAGCAGTGACAATTCACAGGACGTAATTTGTGTTTGAATGACATTGTTTATAAACTTGTTACAAGTGCTGCTCAATAAACAGTGATGTGGAAGACATAGTTGTTTGTTTTCAGCGTATGTCTAAGGTGGTATTTCTGCTATCCAAAATGTCTTATTGTTGATATAAATGTGATGCTTAATAATGCGAGCAAAGACCACTCGCTTATTCACGCCCGCGTTATTTTAAGATTTACAGTATTTCATACCGAAAGACATGAGGGTGAGATTCTATTGATCATCCAAGTTCATTCTTCCAACTTTTTCAGTTTGTAGACAGTAATAACCAGTGCCTTAAGTGTAAAATGTACAGCTCACCAGCTTTAGTGACAGAGAGATAAGTGATCTCATGTGATTGAGACAATTGATCATTGGAATAGATGATGTACGAGACGGTCCCCATAATAGCAAAAGGCACCCTGGATAATAAATGTACCAAGGTTGAATGAAAAATCTTTCACAGTTCTCAAGCTATGCTCCGGAACTGAAATATGTATGGACAGACAGACCAGATGATGACTATATCCCCTGCATTCAAACACAACAGTGCTGACAATGCTTTCAGCAGTAACCAACACTTTCTTCATCTTCCTCAACATATTAAGGTGATGGAGTTGAAAGGGTCTCACTGTAATTCTTCCTACAAGGGCAAATACATTTCTGTTTCTTCACTAAAATACAATGTCATTCCCTCATTGAAGATTTATACTGAACTATGTGTTATCTTCCAGCCAAATATCCACTCACCATATAGGCCTGTAAGACAGCCTGCTGTTGCTGCTGTTGTGCCAGAGCCTGCTGCTGTGCTTGCTGCTGAGCAAGCATCTGCTGGGCCATGAGTTGCTGAACTGGGTCTGTGGGGAAGCAATGGGAGGGTGGCTATGTAACACATTATTTTGTCTTAGAAAGAAAGCATTAAAAGTATTCTGCATAAAGACTAAACATGAATTTTGTCCTAATGAATGACTAAATAAATATAATCATGACTAAGAAAGAAAACCTGATCCTCAGATTCTTAGTTTTTTAACTAAAAAACATTTCCACTGATCAAAGTTGTGGTTAGAAACTTACGATATTTCAGCATAAAAAACGTGTTATTTAGTTCTTGTGTTTATTCCATCTTCAACTAATAATCATGTTCTCAGTTTGACATGTGTGTTCAATGTCTGTATAACAAAGTTGGGTCATACCTGTGCCACCAAGTCCCACTCCCAAGCCAAGGTTGGGGGTGATGGGTGTGGTTGGGGGAAGACCCAGGCCAAACTGCCCAGCGGGTGTTAATGGCTGCTGCTACAAGAGACAGGATCAGATGAATACATTAGGTTACACTGTTGCCAATAGTGGGGTGTATTCAGTACAATAGGTTACACTGTTGCCAATAGTGGGGTGTCTTCAGTACAATAGGTCACACTTTTGCCAGTAGTGGGGTGTCTTCAGTACAATAGGTCATGCTGTTGCCAATAGTGGGGTGTATTCAGTACAATAGGTCTTACTGTTGCCAATAGTGGGGTGTCTTCAGTACAATAGGTCACACTGTTGCCAATAGTGGGGTGTATTCAGTACAATAGGTCTTACTGTTGCCAGTAGTGGGGTGTCTTCAGTACAATAGGTCATGCTGTTGCCAATAGTGGGGTGTATTCAGTACAATAGGTCTTACTGTTGCCAATAGTGGGATGCTCTCAGTAAAATAGGTCTTACTGTTGCCAATAGTGGGGTGTATTCAGTACAATAGGTCACACTGTTGCCAATAGTGGGGTGTATTCAGTACAATAGGTTACACTGTTGCCATTAGTGGGGTGTATTCAGTACAATAGGTCACACTGTTGCCAGTAGTGGGGTGTATTCAGTACATTAGGTTACACTGTTGCCATTAGTGGGGTGTATTCAGTACAATAGGTCACACTGTTGCCAATAGTGGGACGCTCTCAGTGAAATAGGTTACACTGTTGCCAATAGTGGGGTGTATTCAGTACAATAGGTCTTACTGTTGCCAATAGTGGGATGCTCTCAGTAAAGTAGGTTACACTTTTGTCAATAGTGGGGTGTATTCAGTACAAAAGGTCTTACTGTTGCCAATAGTGGGGTGTCTTCAGTACAAAAGGTCTTACTGTTGCCAATATTGGGGTGTATTCAGTACAATAGGTCATGCTGTTGCCAATATTGGGGTGTATTCAGTACAATAGGTCACACTGTTGCCAATAGTGGGGTGTATTCAGTACAATAGGTCTTACTGTTGCCAATAGTGGGGTGTCTTCAGTACAATAGGTCATGCTGTTGCCAATATTGGGGTGTATTCAGTACAATAGGTCACACTGTTGCCAATAGTGGGGTGTATTCAGTACAATAGGTCTTACTGTTGCAAATAGTGGGGTGTCTTCAGTACAATAGGTCATGCTGTTGCCAATAGTGGGGTGTATTCAGTACAATAGGTCTTACTGTTGCCAATAGTGGGGTGTATTCAGTACAATAGGTCTTACTGTTGCCAATAGAATGTAAGCAACTGAATAGTTTGCTAACTTTTATTAAACTTTTGCTGTAACAAAGACTTCCATTATCAGATACATAAATATCCCATAACGGAATTCCAATTCTCTGCAATAGCTTTTAGTTTTGGGGGAGTTAAAGTATTATTTGATCGATATACAATGAAGCCCATTAATCAGAACCATAGTGAAATCATCCCAACTAATGAATCATGAGTTTACAGAGAAACACCAGTTTAATTATGTTTGGAAATATTCATTGATAATTGTCCAGAAGGTAAGCTGACCAGAAAAGGCCTGGGTGGCGTTGTACAAAGCAATCTTAGCCCTGAAGTGATCGTAACTCCCATACCTTAACATAGACTTACGACAGCCGTGGCGCTAAGGTTGTTTTGTACAACGGCACCCTGGACCAACATACTATATTGACAAGTGTTATCTGCATCCCCCGAGAGTCCCTCCCGAGCATCCCGAGAATCCCCCCGCTAGCCTACCTGCTGTGTCGTAATGCCAGGGATCCCTTTCCCTCCTCCCTTGATCCTCTGCTCCAGGGAGCGGCCATCGCTGACATCATCATTGACCTCATTGAACAGAGCATCATTGAACACATCATCGACCCAGTTGGACCAGGCCGACTGACCATCAGACAGGTCTGAAGCTACTGACCTTCGGTCAAACACCTTGTCCTTGCGACTTATTTGATCTTCAACAGCTGATTTGGTCCTGGCATTACCTTTGTTTGACTTGACATACCGAGTGTTGAGTTTGCTTTGAGAAAGATCACCATTGGTATCTGTGTATGTTTTGGCATCACCATTCTGAGAGAGATATCGGTTGTTGAGTTTGTTTTCTGCTAGGTCTATGTCACTGTCGACTTCAAGAATGGTTGTGATTTCACCATTTCCCATTCCGTTTGAAACATGTCCATTGGCTATTGGTGGTGCAGGAGCCCGGCGTTTGTTGTAGCGAACGTTAAGCTTGCTCTCTGACAAACCATTTTCAAAAATTTCTGTTGGGCGCTGGTTGAGAACACTCGTCATAGAGAAATTCAGATTTTCTGTGGTGCCATTTTGAACAATTGTTTTTGATGTTGATGTGGTGCGATGTTTGCTGAGATCTGACACGTGGCCGGAGGATGGTTGGGGAAAGTCCCGTTTGATCATCGCAGGCAGGGATCCAATCACCACCATCAGGCGGTCTCGGTCAGGGTTGTGGGCACTGCAATACACAAACAAAACATAATGGTAGGTTTGGGCATATGTTGCCATAGTAAGTTATATTCACATCCTCATCACACATGAAGTTTCAACTTCTCCTGCCCAATGGTACCAGCTTCCCAATCTCATGTTCCTTATGGTAAAATCATCTCAGCCTCATCTGTCCAATGGTAACGCATCTCAATCTCAGTTTCCTCATGGTAATTCCATCTCAACCTCATCTGCCTAATAGGGATTTATCTAGGCATTCTCAAAAACCCTTTAGAGAGCAGCAAATTTAGGATAAAATGGAATTTAAGATATCCCGATTCAAGTCATCCTAAATTTTAACTTTATATGTCATAGTCTTGCATGTATGACTTAGTTTGAAATCACTGCAATAAATGCTAGAATACCTATGAATGTATGAATATCAGACCAACACAAACACCCAATTTTGGAGAAAGAAAGAGTTTGCCATGGGCACTAAAATCCTAGTTAAATCCTTGCAATGATAACCACTTCATCTTCCCAACAGAACGCACCTATCTGCATGATCATGTCTCCGCTGACTGACTCTCTCCTGGCTCCTGTCCGTCGATACCAGGAAGTAGGACCTACACACCGGGAATCCCGGTGCAGTCTCCATCTCACTGACAAGGTCAAGGACATAGTCATATCCCATCAGTTCGTAGTAATCCAGATCCTCTTGCAACACTAGCGTCCAGCCGTGGGCATTTTCCGTCAAACCTCTGCCAGATAAATTGTACGTTAATTATTGAGGTAAATTCTTCAGGATGTATTATTTCTTATACATTTGAAACAAAAAGATTTTCTTGATCAAAAGGTTTCAAATTAATGAAGAGTCAACAGTAGACATTAAGAGTCTGAACTCCATACCTCTGCTTCAGTAAGTGTGATGTGAAGAGTTCTCCAGAGGTCCAGGATTCAACATGGCCCAAATGTTCGCGGTCTGAAAACAATCACAACACCATAATAACTCATATCACTTCAGCAATTCAATTACTTGTAAAACTATTCACATAATCTAACACACTGAGTAATTCACACGAAATACAGTACCAGTCCTCTTGTCACAAGCCTAGAAGGGAAATACACACCTGTTAATTCATTCTAAATATTTCGGAGGCACATACCAGGCAAATAATAACTAACAAAATGACAACAAAATATAATTATTTAGTTTGAAAAGACAATGATGCCTGAGAATATTTGCTCCAAGGGGATAAAGTAATTTATATTTTTTTTATTTGTTTGCTTTATTTATTTGCTTTATTTGTGTGTGAGAAACATGACTATGTCAGTTTTATTCCAGATCCAATGACAATCAATCTGACACGTACCATCTGGGAATTTGACAAGCAGCGCCATGTTGGCCTTCCTCTGAGCTGCCACCCACTCCAGGAAGCAGGGAGGGTAGGTGCGGCACAGCTGGGGGGGGATGTTGGCACTCTGAAGCACCTTGTGTTGACACACCGCTCGGTAGCCATTGATGCCCACATCAGACACATATCTGAAAACATCAAGAAATAGTTGAAAACATGCACACTAGACAAATATTTGAATACACATATCTGAACACACAGACAACACATGGAAAAGTATCTAAACACATGGACAAATCAGACATATCTGAACACATGGACACATAAGACACATATCTGAACACATGGAAAAATATCTAAAAATATGGACAAATCAGACATATCTGAACACATGGACACATCAGACACATATCTGAACACATGGAAAAGTATCTAAACACATGGACAAATCAGACATATCTGAACACATGGACAAATCAGACACATATCTGAACACATGGAAAAGTATCTAAACACATGGACAAATCAGACATATCTGAACACACGGACACATCAGACACATATCTGAACACATGGAAAAGTATCTAAACACATGGACAAATCAGACATATCTGAACACATGGACACATCAGACACATATCTGAACACATGGAAAAGTATCTAAACACATGGACAAATCGGACATATCTGAACGCACGGACACATCAGACACATATCTGAACACATGGAAAAGTATCTAAACACATGGACAAATCAGACATATCTGAACACATGGACACATCAGACACATATCTGAACACATGGAAAAGTATCTAAACACATGGACAAATCAGACATATCTGAACGCACGGACACATCAGACACATATCTGAACACATGGAAAAGTATCTAAACACATGGACAAATCAGACATATCTGAACACAGGGACACATCAGACACATATCTGAACACATGGAAAAGTATCTAAACACATGGACAAATCGGACATATCTGAACGCACGGACACATCAGACACATATCTGAACACATGGAAAAGTATCTAAACACATGGACAAATCAGACATATCTGAACACATGGACACATCAGACACATATCTGAACACATGGAAAAGTATCTAAACACATGGACAAATCGGACATATCTGAACGCACGGACACATCAGACACATATCTGAACACATGGAAAAGTATCTAAACACATGGACAAATCGGACATATCTGAACACATGGACACATCAGACACATATCTGAACACATGGAAAAGTATCTAAACACATGGACAAATCGGACATATCTGAACGCACGGACACATCAGACACATATCTGAACACATGGAAAAGTATCTAAACACATGGACAAATCAGACATATCTGAACACATGGACACATCAGACACATATCTGAACACATGGAAAAGTATCTAAACACATGGACAAATCAGACATATCTGAACGCACGGACACATCAGACACATATCTGAACACATGGAAAAGTATCTAAACACATGGACAAATCAGACATATCTGAACACATGGACACATCAGACACATATCTGAACACATGGAAAAGTATCTAAACACATGGACAAATCGGACATATCTGAACGCACGGACACATCAGACACATATCTGAACACATGGAAAAGTATCTAAACACATGGACAAATCAGACATATCTGAACACATGGACACATCAGACACATATCTGAACACATGGAAAAGTATCTAAACACATGGACAAATCAGACATATCTGAACGCACGGACACATCAGACACATATCTGAACACATGGAAAAGTATCTAAACACATGGACAAATCAGACATATCTGAACACATGGACACATCAGACACATATCTGAACACATGGAAAAGTATCTAAACACATGGACAAATCGGACATATCTGAACGCACGGACACATCAGACACATATCTGAACACATGGAAAAGTATCTAAACACATGGACAAATCAGACATATCTGAACACATGGACACATCAGACACATATCTGAACACATGGAAAAGTATCTAAACACATGGACAAATCGGACATATCTGAACGCACGGACACATCAGACACATATCTGAACACATGGAAAAGTATCTAAACACATGGACAAATCAGACATATCTGAACACATGGACACATCAGACACATATCTGAACACATGGAAAAGTATCTAAACACATGGACAAATCGGACATATCTGAACGCACGGACACATCAGACACATATCTGAACACATGGAAAAGTATCTAAACACATGGACAAATCAGACATATCTGAACACATGGACACATCAGACACATATCTGAACACATGGAAAAGTATCTAAACACATGGACAAATCGGACATATCTGAACGCACGGACACATCAGACACATATCTGAACACATGGAAAAGTATCTAAACACATGGACAAATCAGACATATCTGAACACATGGACACATCAGACACATATCTGAACACATGGAAAAGTATCTAAACACATGGACAAATCGGACATATCTGAACGCACGGACACATCAGACACATATCTGAACACATGGAAAAGTATCTAAACACATGGACAAATCAGACATATCTGAACACATGGACACATCAGACACATATCTGAACACATGGAAAAGTATCTAAACACATGGACAAATCAGACATATCTGAACAAACAGAGTGAAAGTCAGCAACTTACTTGAGCAGGTATTTGAAGAGGGTGGAGCTTGGCGAGAAGCAGCTCAGACAACTGGCCAATAGCAGCCAAGCTTTCTCGGCCTGGGACATGTTCTGATTCTTCCACGTCTGATTGGTCAGCTGACACAGGATCTCATCCCGCAGACCTTCATTCTGCAGACCCTGTAGAGGATGGCAGAAACGTGTGGTCAGAGCTGTCATAAAGTGGACATTGGGCAGGCAGGAGTTCATACAGTGGGCGGTTGGGCAAGTGGGTGGCAAGAGAGTATGGCTTCATATCACTCTTAGCAATATTCCAGTAACATAAGATAGGGACACAAAAATGTGCTTAACATACAGTATCCATGTGGGGTTTCAAACTGTGCTGGGTCATTGGCATGAAGAGATTCAGCCATTCCGGCTTCTCAGTGCCCCTCATTCACAGACTATGAGGACATTGTATGTCATAAGTATGTCACATTTTATTACTTGAACATTGCTGGATATTTTATTACAGTGTAGCAATACTACTTCAGCTATTACATTTGTCAATAAAAACTACAAGATCGATGGTATTTGAAAAAAAAGTTTGACATATTTCAGATTTCATTAAAATATTACTACCATCAATATGAATGAGAAAATATATCAGACAAAACTGTTGTAAATATATGTAAGTGGACCAACTAAAATTCACTTTAAAAAATATTTGTAGGAAAACTTTATAAATAAATCATGATATGATACATGTGTTAGGCCATTACTTCCCATCTATGTGATATGATACATGTGTTAGGTCATTACTTCCCATCTATGTGATATGATACATGTGTTAGGTTATTACTCCCATCTATGTGATATGATACATGTGTTAGGTCATTACTTCCCATCTCTGTGATATAATACATGTGTTAGGTCATTACTTCCCATCTATGTGATATGATACATATGTAGAAAGGTTATTACTCCCATCTATGTGATATGATACATGTGTTAGATCATTACTTCCCATCTATGTGATATGATGTGTAGAGAGGTCATTACTTCCCATCTATGTGATATGATGTGTAGAGAGGTCATTAGTCCCATCTATGTGATATGATACATGTGTAGAAAGGTCATTACTTCCCATCTATGTGATATGATGTGTAGAGGGGTCATTACTTCCCATCTATGTGATATGATGTGTAGAGAGGTCATTAGTCCCATCTATGTGATATGATACAGGTGTAGATATGTCATTACTCCCATCTATGTGATATGATACAGGTGTAGAGAGGTCATTACTCCCATCTATGTGATATGATACATGTGTTAGGTTATTACTTCCCATCTATGTGAGATGATACATGTGTAGAAAGGTCATTACTCCCATCTATGTGATATGATACATGTGTTAGGTCATTACTTCCCATCTCTGTGATATAATACATGTGTTAGGTCATTACTTCCCATCTATGTGATATGATACATATGTAGAAAGGTTATTACTCCCATCTATGTGATATGATACATGTGTTAGATCATTACTTCCCATCTATGTGATATGATGTGTAGAGAGGTCATTACTTCCCATCTATGTGATATGATGTGTAGAGAGGTCATTAGTCCCATCTATGTGATATGATACATGTGTAGAAAGGTCATTACTTCCCATCTATGTGATATGATGTGTAGAGGGGTCATTACTTCCCATCTATGTGATATGATGTGTAGAGAGGTCATTAGTCCCATCTATGTGATATGATACAGGTGTAGATATGTCATTACTCCCATCTATGTGATATGATACAGGTGTAGAGAGGTCATTACTCCCATCTATGTGATATGATACATGTGTTAGGTTATTACTTCCCATCTATGTGATATGATACATGTGTAGAAAGGTCATTACTCCCATCTATGTGATATGATACATGTGTTAGGTCATTACTTCCCATCTCTGTGATATAATACATGTGTTAGGTCATTACTTCCCATCTATGTGATATGATACATATGTAGAAAGGTTATTACTCCCATCTATGTGATATGATACATGTGTTAGATCATTACTTCCCATCTATGTGATATGATGTGTAGAGAGGTCATTACTTCCCATCTATGTGATATGATGTGTAGAGAGGTCATTAGTCCCATCTATGTGATATGATACATGTGTAGAAAGGTCATTACTTCCCATCTATGTGATATGATGTGTAGAGGGGTCATTACTTCCCATCTATGTGATATGATACAGGTGTAGAGAGGTCATTACTCCCATCTATGTGATATGATACATGTGTAGAAAGGTCATTACTCCCATCTATGTGATATGATACAGGTGTAGAAAGGTCATTACTTCCCATCTATGTGATATGATACATGTGTTAGGTCATTACTTCCATCTATGTGATATGATACATGTGTTAGGTCATTACTTCCATCTATGTGATATGATACATGTGTTAGGTCATTACTCCCATCTATGTGATATGATACATGTGTAGAAAGGTCATTACTCCCATCTATGTGATATGATACATGTGTTAGGTCATTACTTCCATCTATGTGATATGATACATGTGTTAGGTCATTACTCCCATCTATGTGATATGATACATGTGTTAGGTTATTACTTCCCATCTATGTGATATGATACATGTGTTAGGTCATTACTTCCCATCTATGTGATATGGTACATGTGTAGAAAGGTCATTACTTCCCATCTATGTGATGTGATACAGGTGTAGAAAGGTCATTACTCCCATCTATGTGATATGATACAGGTGTAGAAAGGTCATTACTCCCATCTATGTGATGTGATACATGTGTAAGGTCATAACTTTCCATCTATGCGATATGATACATGCGTAGAAAGGTCATTACTCCCATCTATGTGATGTGATACATGTGTTAGGTTATTACTCCCATCTATGTGATATGATACATGTGTAGAGAGGTCATTACTTCCCATCTATGTGATATGATGTGTAGAGAGGTCATTACTTCCCATCTATGTGATATGATACAGGTGTAGAGAGGTCATTACTCCCATCTATGTGATATGATATATGTGTGAGGTTATTACTCCCATCTATGTGATATGATACATGAGTAGAAAGGTCATTATTCCCATCTATGTGATATGACATCAAGCAAAGATGACTACTCACCAGCTGTACGATATAGTCTGACAGGACTTTCTGCCTCTTCTCCGTCATGTTCTGCTCCATCATGAAGCGAAGAATCTAAACATAACCAACCAGATGAGTGTTTGGTATAAAATGAGTACAAATTGAATTTTTTTTAACAAATATGCTTGTAAAGTAAAAGTTAACCATATATATATAATATTGTAATAAATAACCCAAAATAAGAAATTTGCATGACACCTTGAAAATTTTGAATTTCCTCTTGAGTTCTGCCGATTTTGGTGGCACAGGTATCCGAACCGGCTTTACCATGTTGGTGAGGTGTGCTGCTGCCAGTGAAGACTATTGAACTGACAGTCAGTCTCCGAAGCTATTTCCCCAGCAGGGGTCATCCTGATCTGCTGTAGGAGGTCACCACAGTGACCTTTCTTATACATTCTTTCCCTGATTACTTATGATGTCAAAATACTATACAATCTTCACAACCCACATGTCTGTGTTGATCACTTCCTGTTTGGTGTGGCCGGATTTATAATCATGTGGTAGCAGATCGCCATGGGGCATCATGGGATACCAGGAGATAGGAAGCTGGGCTTTCCCAGTGGACCAGGAAACTCGGCCATGGAATGTGTATATTACAAGGCTGGCTTTTATTGATTGTTGTGTTTTGCTTTTCATATTTTGTTATGATGCACTCAGCAGTATTCCAGCTAGGAGATGGCCTGTATGTTTGTTGTTTGTTTGTTCGTTTGTTGTTTAACGCCACACTCAGCAATATTCTAGATATATGATGGCAGTCTGTAAATAATCGAGTCTGGACCAGACAATCCAGTGACTGACATCATGAGTCCGTGAGCCTGACTACCCGATACTATTAGTCGCCTCTTACGACAAACACAGTCGCCTTTTACAGCAAGCATGGGTTGTGGAAGACCTATTCTACCCCGTATCTTCATGGGTCTGGCTTGTAAGTAACCGAGATTGGTTTGTTTATTGAAAGGTTTAAAAAAAAATTAAAAATTATCATGACGTTTTTACATTTATTTTTCTTTCTTACCAGTTTGAATACTGACAAAGCCCTGTGCGAAAGGTCACCACCTTGCAGGTTTGTGAAAGGTGCTTTGATTGGCTCAATTTGAACTCCCCAGTCAGATTTCTGTAAAAGAAAACAGTCATTTTTATGCCTAATACCTAATTCATGAATACTACAACAACTTACAAAACAAATAGATTTTAAATTATTTCTGTTTTGAGGTGATATAAAACTAGGAATAGAAAACATGAATCATACAACATACATCATACATCGAAGGTGTCCGCTGGTCTATATCAAGAGTATTTAACATTTTCTAAGATACCTAATATTTGATACAACTGTCCAAATGACAAAGAAAGGGGACCTGTGTCTATTTTGCTGCACCAGGTGCAGTCGATAACTACACAACCTAATTCATATTTTACTTTAGAGGCATATAGGAAAATCAATGCAATAGAATAACCAGTCTCGACTACCGGTATCTGCCAAGAGAGCACTTAATTGGCAAAGTAGTGATGAAAATTATGTGAATTGATCACTGAAAAAATCAGGTATAACACCAGGGCCCACATGCACAAAGCGATCTTAGCGCTAAGATGATCTTAACTCTCATACTTCAACATAGGCTTATAGTCTTAGCAATAAGATCGCTTTGTGTAAGTGGGCCCTGGTGTTTGCGAAAAGGGACAGCATGCCCTGCTCTACAGGTAGAACCCGCCACTCACACAATTTCATGAAAAAATAAGCATCTGTTCGTCTCATCTTATTCTATTTAAGAAATAAACAATAAGTGGGAGTTGTTTATCGTACACTAATACACTGCAGTGAGAATAAACCATGAGGGGTGGAACTCCAAGTGGTTTATTCTGCTTGCAGTGTTTTATTGTACGATAAACAACGACCATGAGTCATTTATTTCTTAGTGAGATATCAACATGATGTACAGCCTCTTTATGGATGTTCAAGCCTTAAAGTTTTTTACCCAAATTCAATAATGATGACACCCTGAATAGAATCTGACCTGGGAAATGTCAGACAAGTCCATTTTACAAACAGGTGGGTGAAGTTTTGTATTTCCCTAATATTCCCACAATCCTCACGTCGATTATCTGTACCTTTTCTCCTAATAGTGTTTGTCATATCTCTCCCACTTTTGGATGCGATCGTTCGACCACTGCGCTTATCTGCGTAGCCCAGCTACATCTATGGGGAACAACTTACTAGACATCTCTCATAAATAACGTCATCAAATATACGACATCATCAAGTTGCGAGCGCATATTCGAATCTCCAGAACTTTGATGGCATGATAGAACAATGTTTTTCCTGAGTTTCACATTGGGATATTTCAGGGCTTGTGTTACACAGAATATAGTACTGCAGATGTACGTACCTTGAAGTACGCGCCCATGTATTTGCTGAAGGTATGGGAGCTGATGTCAACTGGTAGTTTGTAGGCCATGTCCATGGGCTTGACGTCGACCACCACGTTGATGTTGGTGCCGGTGTGCAACAGGCGCCAGTCTATAAAACGATAAAGTAAGATGCATATTTTTGTCAAACACCTTGAAGCAAATATTCTAAAATATTCTCAAGCTGTTCCTGCATTATTCATTGTAAAAAAGTGATGAATTATTCTATTATTGAGTTATTTTGTCATGGCTGTAAGAAAGAAACAATTTGGACTGACAAATGTATTCTCTCACAATCTGTTAGAAAGACGCATAAAATGATAAACCAGGACTTTGAGAAGATCGATTTATGCATGCACTCATTTCTAAACTTGGGATTGTGCACAGAAGCTCAGTCTATTTCAAAGGTGTTACATTGGCACACTCTCCTACCCAGAGTTCCATGCGACCGGCAGCCAGCTAGCATAGTACCTCTGCCACAGGCCAGCGCCATGTGACGATTCGTCACATCTTTCACAGTCATTCAAGATATTGCATATGCTTTTCATCCGTTTCATGTTTGACAAGTCTACACATTTTCATAAATAAATGTCAAAGAATGGTTAACTTTCATTGAGAAAGTATGCAAATACGTAAAAATCTACTTGTTTTTGCGTAGTTATCCTATGTTTACATTGGTTGTACGGCTCCACGTGCTGTCATCGAAGCCCAACGGAGAGCTAGCGATACGGTCACTTTGATGCATAAATATATATTGTCATGCAATTCACTGTCCCAGTTGTAGTAGCATATCTATATAGTTATGCAAAACAATATGTAAAGCGCCCCCAAATACTTGCATTAGTCCGTTCTATACTGATTTCTGAAAAAGCGCGTTTGTTTACAAACAAGAGAAAAGTCTGGTCACGTGATATGCAAATTAGCCTGTGGCAGTGGTGTTATGCTGAGTCACCACTGCGACGGAGTGTTACATTGGCATAAATATCTCACAAAGTAGTACCGGTTTATGGCCTTGCCAAAGTGTCTGATATTTGTACTGTTCTACAGGATCCCAGTTGTAGAAATTCCCTTGAAAGTGAGTGAGCGAGAGTGGTTTTACGTCACTTTTAGCAATATTTCCGCAATCTCACGGCGGGGACAACCGAAAATGGGCTTCACACATTGTACCCATGTGGGAAATTGAACCCGGGTCTTTGGCGTGACGAGCGAACGCTTAACCACTAAGCTACTCCACCTCCCCTCCTTTGAAAGTTATCTTCACAAGTCTTTATGGATAGAGTTAAGCTGCAGCTGAAGTCACCATTGTGACACTGTCTAGGTGCCCTACACACATGGATCTCACTCCGTCCAGCTACCACCTCATCCAACAATACAATCTTAGCCATACACCCATGGTACGTCTTTGTTAATGTGAGTGAGGGAGGTGGTCTAACATTGCTGTTACCTATATTTCAGTTGTATAACTGTATGTCAGCTTTACATGGGAGGAAAGCCCGAAGTGATGCAGATCACAGATGCTAAACACTGATGAAACCCATGGGCATGGAGGGTATGGTGCTGACAAACCAAGCATAAACATAAGGATTTGAACCCATTACCATAGGATTCTGGCACATTTAAGGGAGGCAACTAAAACACCTAATGGGTCACCCGTTGTTAAAGTATTGGAGTTCACACCAGAATGACACCAGAAGCAGAAGGCTCTTGTTAAAACACAACAAGGGGGGTTCCTCTACCTACCATCTAGCTTGTTATAGACAAAGGCCAGCTCCCCTGGGATGTCCAGGTTTGAGACGCTGGCTACAGCCCGGGCCTCCCTTTCCTGAAAAATACAACACAATGCTCAGCTCTTCTCTTACATACAACACAATGCTCAGCTCTTCTCTAACATATAACACAATGCTCAGCTCTTCTCTAACACACATCACAATGCTCAGCTCTTCTCTAACATACAACACAATGCTCAGCTCTTCTCTAACATACAACACAATGCTCAGCTCTTCTCTAACATACAACACAATGCTCAGCTCTTCTCTAACATACAACACAATGCTCAGCTCTTCTCTTACATACAACACAATGCTCAGCTCTTCTCTAACATACAACACAATGCTCAGCTCTTCTCTTACATACAACACAATGCTCAGTTTGTCTCTAACATACAACACAATGCTCAGTTTTTATCTAACACACATTGTTTTAAAAGCACCAATACACTGATATGATGACCTTTTTTTACAGCTCTGGAACATAGGTAAAATTCAACAACCAATCACTGATTATTTTAACAGAATTCTTTTCAACTGTACATGACAAGATGAAGTTAAATTTAAACAATAAAATGTTTAGTTAACATAAAATATTATAAAATGTTGTTGAAGTAGTATTGGAAATGTGATACCTAATATCTAAAATGTCTCATTACATATACTAAACATATAAATAAAATTAAATTAAAACATCAACATTTAATTAAAACATCAATATCTTATGTCCCATTGGACATAAATCCCAAAATAAATTTGAACTACAAATATAACTACAGGAACATACTCAAAAATATATCAGCTATATACCTGAACCATATTTCTGACAAACATGGACCATTCCAAAGCAGTTCTTATTGTCATTAACATAATGATTTAGACTGTGACAGACAACATCAAGCTAGCTACTGCATGCCATTGAGCTTGTTAACAGGTAACTCTATCTGGGTCTGCCATGCTGTGAGATTACACACCTGTACAGCACAGGTAGGACACCACGAGGCAATTACCAGGTAACGTCACTAAGTAATTCATCAGCATGTATTGGTTAATGCATGACCACCCAAATAAACATAGCACAAATTCTTCAGATTTTATTTTAAGCCTTTGGTTAGATATTGATGATTTGACCATTTGAATTATAGACAAGTGTGGCCAAAGTACAGGTCAATACGCCAGTTGTAATATAACGTAAAATATGCAGTATATATACCATGAGATTAATTTCAATTCACTTGTTGAAAACATTCATAATTATTTTGTTAACTGCAAGAGAAACATCAAATAATTGAAAATTTTGCCAACATTAAAATTGCTTCAATGCAAATGTTCATGGAAATCTTTGTTAGTAGACAGGATTAAAATTCTTGAAATCATGTATGATCAATTTTTATCGGCATTGATAGATGACATCTAATTATAAGTTTTTGTAGTTTTGTTTTTGTAGTCAAAGCTGATATAACCAGCAGTCTTCAGCAGTTTGTTCACAAACTACAAGATAATCAAACTGCACCTGTCAGAAGGAAATGTAGAATGCTGACGTAAGCTCGGATCAAGCGGGGTCAAAATATATGTACTACATATATAAAATAATGATCAATAAAACTATATTTGAAACATAATCATCATGCAAATGAACTTGGGTGAACACAAGGGGAAGGTGAAGGTGACACGACGGTATACCTTCTCCTCATCGCTCAACATCACGATGTACGGCACAGGGAACAACAATGAGATTCTCCGCTTGATTTCTCGCCCTGGCTGCTGAGGCCAACAGAGAGACACATCCAGTGAGTGAGTTTGATTTGATACCACTTTGAATGCTGCTTGTTATATCACGGCTGTATATCACGGCTTGTTATAGCAGCGGATGAAGACGTTTAATATTTGGAGAACACAAGACATGTGTACGCTGCTGTCAGACCAGGATTCATTATCATGATGAAGCTGAGGTTCAAACGTATGACCTATTCAGGATCCATCACATTGACCACCAGGCCCCCAGGACAAACCACACTGACCAGTGGGTCCAGAAGACCCACCACACTGACCGCTGGCCCCCAGGATCTACCACACTGACCACTGGGTTCCCAGGATCAACCACACTGACTCCTTGGCCCCGAAGACCCACCACACTGACCACTGGGTTCCCAGGATCAACCACACTGACCGCTGGCCCCCAGGATCTACCACACTGACCACTGGGTTCCCAGGACAAACCACACCGACTCCTTGGCCCCGAAGACCCACCACACTGACCGCTGGCCCCCAGGACAAACCACCCTGACCAGTGGGTCCAGAAGACCCACCACACTGACCACTGGGTTCCCAGGATCAACCACACTGACCACTGGGTCCAGAAGACCCACCACACTGACCGCTGGCCCCCAGGACCCACCACACTGACCACGGGCCCCAGGACCCACCGTACTGACCGCAGGGACCCTGGACCCATCACACTGACCACTGGGTTCCAAGGATCAACCACACTGACTCCTTGGCCCCGAAGACCCACCACACTGACCACTGGGTTCCCAGGATCAACCACACTGACCGCTGGCCCCCAGGATCTACCACACTGACCACTGGGTTCCCAGGACAAACCACACCGACTCCTTGGCCCCAAAGACCCACCACACTGACCGCTGGCCCCCAGGACAAACCACCCTGACCAGTGGGTCCAGAAGACCCACCACACTGACCACTGGGTTCCCAGGATCAACCACACTGACCACTGGGTCCAGAAGACCCACCACACTGACCGCTGGCCCCCAGGACCCACCACACTGACCACTGGGTTCCCAGGACAAACCACACCGACTCCTTGGCCCCGAAGACCCACCACACTGACCACAGGGGCCCCAGGACCCACCACACTCACCGCTGATTAAAGTATCTGGGGCCTATCTGCACTTAAGTCACAACAGAGTACATACACTGATACATCTACTGAAAACCCTGAGCATGACATTGATTTGTTTGTTATTTACCGCTGCACTCAGCAACATGACGTCAGTCTGTAAATAATCAAGTGTGGACCAGACAATCCAGTGATTGATATCATGAGCATCGATCCATGCAATTAGGATCAATGACATGCAAATCAAGTAAGACACCGCAACTGACCACCCAATCCCCGTAGTTATCTCTTACGACCAGCATGGGTTGCTGGGGATCCATATTGTTAGCCGGAATCACCACATGTCTGTTGATTTATAGTGACCCAACCAAACTATAATCTTGTAAGCAGTCTGAAGCAAGAACTTCCCCAAGGGCAGTGCAATCAAAACTAGGCATCCAACTCCCTGAACACCACCTAAGCATGCCTGAATCAAAAGCTGGTGAATTCATCACAGAAAAAACACATTTCTGTTATAAAATTTCCTAGTTTTCGTTTGGCTATGAGACATATGTCAACTATGTTGCTCTGCATCAGATTATTCAACACTTGACGAGCATGCTTGTTACATCAACAAGGTTAGAGCCGCGGTGTCACTGATATGTCTTATCAATGGTCAATGTTCTTTATGTGACTATGTGACATCTTTGGTTGAACAGTGACAGACCCTGATTACAATCTCAAAGTAATTTAATGAATTAACACGCATAGATCGCTTACTTTACCATTTTGTCCAATATCTGTGCAGAAACTGTCAAATCTGAGTATGTGTTGTCCCATATGAAATTAAAGCTCATATATACTCACAACAAAAGAAACGCGAATACCATATATGTTGGTTAATATATGAAAAATTATTCATATTAAAGATATATGAGATTAGTTCGACGCACAAACGAACCTACTGTTATGTTGTGTGAATCGACACTCATGAACACATCACATGTGACGTCATAGATCCATGACTCGAGAAGCACCATATGCCTCGTACAGAATTAGCGTGTAAAGTTTGGAAATCATGTGCAGTATATCGTGGTAAGAATAAAGACATTGTGGTAACACTTGACTGATTGTTAGTTTGTCATTAAGTGGTACAAATTGGAAACATTTCTTCTTACCATACATACTTCTCATATCCCATGGTTTGCATTTCTTTTGGTAGTGAGTATATATATTACATAATAGTTGCAGCAATCATATAACATGTTTAGCATATCATCACACATGTTATTATAAGCTCCATATCAACTCACCCGTTTTTCGCGTTCCATCTTTTCCTTAGCCTCCTGCTGTTTGCGAGCCTGGCGTTCCACCTCTAGCTTCTGACGTATCTGTTCTCTTGCCTGCAACACATGTCCCGTTCAAACGCTAACATCAAGTCACTATTACTACACTATTAAACATGGATGACACAATAACTGACGTGATGACGTAAACATCAGACTGACACAAACTCAACAAGTCAAGAAACTACCATGGATACATACACTACGAAGCTGGACACGCGTTCCAACCACCCTACACAAAGAGTCAAGAAACTACCATGGATACATACACTACGAAGCTGGACACGCGTTCCAACCACCCTACACAAAGAGTCAAGAAACTACCATGGATACATACACTACGAAGCTGGACACGCGTTCCAACCACCCTACACAAAGAGTCAAGAAACTACCATGGATACATACACTACGAAGCTGGACACGCGTTCCAACCACCCTACACAAAGAGTCAAGAAACTACCATGGATACATACACTACGAAGCTGGACACGCGTTCCAACCACCCTACACAAAGAGTCAAGAAACTACCATGGATACATACACTACGAAGCTGGACACGCGTTCCAACCACCCTACACAAAGAGTCAAGAAACTACCATGGATACATACACTACGAAGCTGGACACGCGTTCCAACCACCCTACACAAAGAGTCAAGAAACTACCATGGATACATACACTACGAAGCTGGACACGCGTTCCAACCACCCTACACAAAGAGTCAAGAAACTACCATGGATACATACACTACGAAGCTGGACACGCGTTCCAACCACCCTACACAAAGAGTCAAGTTCCAACCTGGTTCAACCTCACTGTCAGTAACACCAACAGACTACCACCTTCCTCCAGAGACAATCAGTCCCTCTGAGGGTCTGTATGTAAATGTTCAAAGTGTGAGATATCATCAATAGAGAAACATTTGTATCATCTCCTGAGGCCAAGTTGGGTGATAATACGATAAAACACACATCTGTTTTCACCACTAGGTCAAGCATCACAATATTCCATGTTGATAAAAACAACTGCATTACACATATCGGCTGCACTGTAACAATAAATTAGCTCTACCAGAAATGTCTCATTCTGGAGGCAGCGACAGTACAGCATCTTCAACATTTTGTTTAACTTTTGTGCTGAACATGTTCCTACCCTAGTGAGTGAGTCAGTGAGTATGGTGTTACGCCACTTTTAGCAATATTCCAGCAATATCATGGCAGGGGACACCAGAAAATGGGCTTCACACATTGTACCCATGTGGGGAATCGAACTCGGTTCTTCGTTCTTATGAGCCAAAGCTTTCACCACTAGGCTACCCCACCACCCCTCCTTCCCTAGTGTAGGGATGCTTAGATAAACAACCCAGAAAGTTGACCTTTTTAACTGAAATTTAAGATTTAGCCACCTAATTTATTCACAAACACAGCTGTAAACAAGTTACATGATGTGCTGGATGCCTGTTTTGAGAAATGAATAATTAAAAAAAAGTAATAATAATAATATGCATATTCATAATACACCAGATCAATACCCTAAAGCATTCTTAAAGTGTTACATGAATACCCTGGCCAATGGATCACTGTGCAGTCGATTTTCATTCTCAGCTCCCTGGGGAGTATACAACCAAAGTTGCCTGTGAGGCACTAGAAGGTTAATGGTCACAATGCCTATCTCATCCTACCATCCTACTAGGTCCTATCCGGGCCTTCTCTATGTTACCATACATGCCTGAATGCTGAACATGTTGTACATTGTATACCATATATACATGTGATGAAATGTTGCTTCGAGGAAGTCATTCAGGTTGTACAGGGACGTATGGTAGTCTGGTGGTTAAAGCGTTCACTCATCATGCCAAAAACCAGGGTTCGATTCCCCACATGGGTACAATGTGCGAGCTCATTTCTGGTGTCCCCTGCCATGATATAACTGGAATATTGTTAAAAGCGGCGTAAAACCATACTCACTCACATACTCATTCAGGTACCGTATTCGACATAATAAGCGGCCAGGGCGCTCTCAAAATTAGAAATAGGGGGCTCTTATTAGAATATAATTTTGGTGAAAAACAACAGAGTTGAAAGATCATTAATGGTGTGGATTATGCTCACAGTCTGAAATGTTTATAAACAACATATATTTTTCCAGAATTTAATTTCCCATAATTAAGGATGCATATAACACACGTATTATACACGAATGAATAAGTCTTGTGTACACTGATCAATCGGAAGGGGTGCTAACTGGGATTGTTCACTAGCCAATATATTAGCAAATATCGCCGTGGGCGCTATTAAGAGCGGGGCGCTTATTACGTCGAATACGGTATTACACATGGTGATCACAATGGAATCCTACAATGAACTCTTACGATTATGGAAAGAGTTTTGTTGCTTTTATATATTATTAATACATAGATATATAATACAAAATGATTTTTTTTTACACACTATGCACATTGATTAAACAATCTGATTCATGCATGCATATTCTGTTTCTGTTTGTGACTATCTGGTTATTATCAGATGTGATTCATGAGCCAGTTGGGGTATTTTTGTGAAGCTATCTTTAAATCTCCAGGATATCTACATAAAACTAAACTCAGGACTAAGTTTTTAAATGTCGTGAATGTAATTATTCTGTTTTCATCTAGTCAAGGGGTCCTGGAGGCATGTTTTGCTGCTGGCGTCACACTTCACGGGCTCTCCGATATTCGGGATGAAGCTAATGCACAATGAAGACGTGGAACAGCCCAGATATAGGTCAATCAAACATGTCGGTGCAACCTACTGTACATATCATCAGTACACCTACTGTACATATCATCAGTACACCTACAGTATATATCATCAGTACACCTGTGGCATATATCATCAGTACACCTACTGTATATATCAGTACACCTACTGTACATATCATCAGTACACCTACTGTATATATCATCAGTACACCTACTGTATATATCATCAGTACACCTGTTGTATATATCATCAGTACACCTACTGTATACTGTACACTAGGAATCCGAACCTAGACCATGACAGCAACCACGCAAACCGGGTAGGCTATGAAACCGTATATACCTGATTCTACCTAATCACTGCCCACGACATGGACTACCCTATCTAGTATACTCAAGGACAACACTCAGCTGTGGACTAGCACACTGCCCACTATCCAAGGACAACACTCAGCTGTGGACTAGCACACTGCCCATGACACTGGACTACCATTTCTAGTACACTCAAGGACAACACTCAGCTGTGGACTAGCACACTGCCCATGACACTGGACTACCATTTCTAGTACACTCAAGGACAACACTCAGCTGTGGACTAGCACACTGCCCATGACACTGGACTACCATTTCTAGTACACTCAAGGACAACACTCAGCTGTGGACTAGCACACTGCCCATGACACTGGACTACCATTTCTAGTACACTCAAGGACAACACTCAGCTGTGGACTAGCACACTGCCTACGACACTGGACTACCATTTCTAGTACACTCAAGGACAACGCTCAGCTGTGGACTAGCACACTGCCCACGACACTGGACTACCATTTCTAGTACACTCAAGGACAACACTCAGCTGTGGACTAGCACACTGCCCACGACACTGGACTACCATTTCTAGTACACTCAAGGACAACACTCAGCTGTGGACTAGCACACTGCCCACGACACTGGACTACCATTTCTAGTACACTCAAGGACAACACTCAGCTGTGGACTAGCACACTGCCCACAACACTTGACAACCATATCTAGCTGATCACAAGGACAACACTCAGCTGTGTTTGCTTGTAATAATTCTATTCTGTTTACAAATATGTGCAATATAAATAGTATTCAGGACCTGTCTACATGTGATACAACGAATGGTGTACATGCATAACTGCTACTTTTACTACAACTCAGCTATCAACTTGCTACCGAATCCTACAACAAAAACTGAAGACTTGGGAACAAAAAACTTTTCATAATGCTAACAAAAACAACAAATTCAAATCGGAATTACCTCTTCCATCTAGCAATGTAAAGAAAACAAATATATTTGTACCATAACATGTTTTGTTCGATCAGATCACAATGTAAATACTGTTCCAGTTCTGCGTAATACTTAACTCAACTGAAAGCATGGCTTGTATCCATATCCATGCAAAATGGATGTTTTTGACTGATGTTTAAAATGAAAGTTCCAAGATGAAAGGAAAAAGTGATGATCAGAAAACGAATTGAAAATATGTAAACATACCTGCAAATAGCGAGTCCGCTGCCTGTACATCCGAAACTGGGCCTGGGCTTTGATGATTCCATTGCGCAGAGCTTTGAACTTTTTTCTGAAATTAAGATAGGAACATTCCATCAAGTTGCAGAACCAGTGTTATTGGTCCATGACTGGCCACAGACTTGTTGGCCCGGCTGTAATCCAGGCTACATCTTTGATCCTGAAGGAAGAGGTGGCAGAATGGATGAGTAACACGCCAGGGGACGGCAGTGTCTGGGGGACTTCAATCTGCCTAACTGTATTGATGTGCTACTGGAAACTCATTCAGAACAGAAACATGCCAAACACGGTTTCTAGGGCATATTATGTCTGCAAGCGAAGGATATTGAATCCGACCAATAGCAAGAGATTGATGATAACATAATTGATTTGCTTTTGTGTTTAATTTAGTAATGAGAGGAAATCATGGTGACAATTATTTATTTAATGAAAAGAGTGGCCATATCAAAGAATTTATCAATATATTCTAATGGAATGAATTTCAGAAAACCTCACATTATAAGAACATGCATGCTTTTAGACATTAAAGGGAAAAGCAATCATGAAATTAAAATGTGCATGTTTTCTAAATTTCTTGCAGGCATAACAAATGGCAGTTTTTATGGCCTGTCTTTGGTGAACGAGCTGCAAACTCCCACTTGTCTGTCTGCCTCAGGCCACAGGCATACAGTCTATGGACGTGTCTACCTCAGCTTAACACAGCACGATCTCAGCCCAGGTGTACACATTCATAAACACAACACCTTGTGTCACAGCTATGTTGTTCTGCAGCTCCACTGCATCAGAAATGCACAAGATGAAGCACATGAGAGCAATCAACAAGTGTGGAACTGGATCCTTCTAACTAATGCCTGAGTAAGTTACTGCACCAACGCTATGTAAGTATATAGCAACATGAGTATGGAGGAGACACTAGGCAATGACCTCAAACATTGTACCTAGGTAGTATGACCTATATATCACTGTTGGTAACATCAAGCACTGACCTCAAACATTGTACCTAGGTAGTATGACCTATATATCACTGTTGGTAACATCAAGCACTGACCTCAAACATTGTACCTAGGTAGTATGACCTATATATCACTGTTGGTAGCATCAAGCACTGACCTCAAACATTGTACCTAGGTAGTATGACCTATATATCACTGTTGGTAACATCAAGCACTGACCTCAAACATTGTACCTAGGTAGTATGACCTATATATCACTGTTGGTAACATCAAGCACTGACCTCAAACATTGTACCTAGGTAGTATGACCTATATATTACTGTTGGTAACATCAAGCACTGACCTCAAACATTGTACCTAGGTAGTATGACCTATATATCACTGTTGGTAACATCAAGCACTGACCTCAAACATTGTACCTAGGTAGTATGACCTATATATCACTGTAGGTAACATCAAGCACTGACCTCAAACATTGTACCTAGGTAGTATGACCTATATATCACTGTAGGTAACATCAAGCACTGACCTCATACATGGCCCCTACGTAGTATGACCTATATATCACTGTAGGTAACATCAAGCAATGACCTCATATGTTGCCATTAGGTAGTATGACCCACATATCACTGTATGGCACATCAAGCACTGACATTGTACCTAGGTAATATGACCTATATATATCACTGTCATGGACATTGTAGGGGACACCAAGCACTGACCTGATATATTGTACCTAGGTAGTATGACCTATATATATCACTGTAGTGGACATTGTAGGGGACACCAAGCACTGACCTGATATATTGTACCTAGGTAGTATGACCTATTATCACTGTAGTGGACATTGTAGGGGACACCAAGCACTGACCTGATATATTGTACCTAGGTAGCATGACCTATATATATCACTGCAGGGGACATTGTAGGGGACACCAAGCACTGACCCGATATATTGTACCTGGGTAGTATGACCTATATATATCACTGTAGTGGACATTGTAGGGGACACCAAGCACTGACCTGATATATTGTACCTAGGTAGTATGACCTATATATATCACTGCAGGGGACATTGTAGGGGACACCAAGCACTGACCTGATATATTGTACCTGGGTAGTATGACCTATATATATCACTCCAGTGGACATTGTAGGGGACACCAAGCACTGACCTGATATATTGTACCTAGGTAGTATGACCTATATATATCACTGCAGGGGACATTGTAGGGGACACCAAGCTTTGACCTGATATATTGTACCTGGGTAGTATGACCTATATATATCACTGTAGTGGACATTGTAGGGGACACCAAGCACTGACCTGATATATTGTACCTGGGTAGTATGACCTATATATATCACTGCAGGGGACATTGTAGGGGACACCAAGCTTTGACCTGATATATTGTACCTGGGTAGTATGACCTATATATATCACTGTAGTGGACATTGTAGGGGACACCAAGCACTGACCTGATATATTGTACCTAGGTAGTATGACCTATATATATCACTCCAGTGAACATTGTAGGGGACACCAAGCACTGACCTGATATATTGTACCTGGGTAGTATGACCTATATATATCACTGCAGGGGACATTGTAGGGGACACCAAGCACTGACCTGATATATTGTACCTAGGTAGCATGACCTATATATATCACTGTAGTGGACATTGTAGGGGAAACCAAGCACTGACCTCATACATCGTACTGTGGAAGTATCACCTATATATCACTGTAGGGAACACCAAGCACTAGTTGGTTGGTTGGCTTGCGCCGCACTAAGCAATATTCAAGCTATATGACAGCGGTCTGTAAATAATTAAGTCTGGGCCAGACAATCCAGTGATTGATATCATGAGCATCGATCCACGTAATTGGTGAGTGAGCGAGTGAGTTTGGTTTTACGCCGCTTTTAGCAATATTCCAGCAATATCACGGCGTGGGACACCAGAAATGGGCTTCACACATTGTACCCATATCGGGAATCCAACCTGGCTCTTCGGCGTGACGAGCGAACGCTTTAACCACAAGGCTACCCGACCGCCCCCGACGAAATTGGGATCAAGGACATGCTTCAACCAAATTAGCGAGTCTGACCACCAAATCCTGTTAGTCGCCTCTTGCGACAAGCATAGTCGCCTTTTACGGCAAGAATGGGTTGCTGAAGACCTATTCTACCCCGGATCTTCACGGGTCACCAAGCACAGACCTCATACATTGTACCTAGGAAGTATGACCTACATATCACTGCAGGGACACCTAGCACTCACCTCATACATTGCACCTATGTAGTATGACCTATATGCAACTAAGTATTAAAAACAAAACTTATTCTCAGTCTGGTACATTGGTATGTCATTGATTTGATTTAGGTATGGAACAGTTTTAGGAGTCACTCCATGAGATCAAGCAATCAATGATAAAAAAAAGGAACACTTCCTGGGTTTTTTTAGCCATGCAAAAAAAAACATAGGACTTAGAATAGTAAACTAACCACAACTAGTTGTGTCAAATATAATAGCATCAATAGTAGTAGTCTGTAAATAACAGTAAGTTTGTGCCAATCAGATCTCACAATTTTGTCAAAATTAACATACACAATATGGAAAGAGGTTTGTAATAAAATTAATGAAATGTGTACAAAACCCAAAGCCATAAATACTATTATTAGGACAACTCTGGGAAGCAAACCAAAAAGAACACACGCACGAACACACGCACACACAAACACACTCACACACACACATACACCACACACGCACGCACGCACGCACGCACGCACGCACGCACGCACGCACACACACACTCACCAAAACCCACACAGACACACACACACACACTCTCACACTCTCACACACACACACACACGTGCATGCACGTCGCTATATAAGTGCAATAATCTTGTACTTTAACTTCCCTCATTAACCAACGATGTGCCACTGATTCATGTGTGATGATGGGTACGTGGCTCTTTCAATGACTTCTGTTCACATAGAGAGAACCTGACAGGAATTAATAGAAATAACATCTTGAGAGTGACTTTCTACCTAAAACAAACTGCACAGTTCCGCTTAATGCCAGTGCAATGTAAGCTTGCTAGTCAAGAGTTCTGTACCCAACTGTATACTATAGAGACTGCATGATTTTAAGTGCCTGTCACTGACAAAATTGTTACAAAACCCATTTCAGTATGTTTTGGAATGTTAAATAATCTCACATTCAGAGGCATTCTAACATTGCATTCAGGACATTGATGTTAAACTAAGTCACAAATGCAAAGCTTTGACATATTAAGTTGAAATTTATGACAACTTAAATCGGAAAATCTTTAAATCCATCCATTTGTGAATTTTGTCCACATCTGCGGCAGACATGGGGAGTAAATAGTCCCTGGCCTGACCCTTGAAAAGTAACTTCACATTCTTCTTTTAAAAAAATGTCATTCTGTTGTACAGTAGAGCCAATTTGCTTTCTAAAAAGGACAGAAACTCATTGTATATACAGTGAACAGCAAACTGCGCTATACGATATGAGTCACAATTGGGAATCAATAGACGAGAACAATATGATGGCTGAATTGAGAATACCGGCCACATAAATGCACATGCTTCAAAAACTAACATCAAGTCCACTCATACTAGACATTTTCATCATTCTAGATCTGGCAAAGTTTACCAACTTTCAACTTGTACACTCAGCCCAATCAGCACTTGGTATATCCTGTGTTTACATCCAGGACAATCTGCTAGTATACAGGAATCTACATCCATGGGAAATACGAGAAATATAACTCCAGTTAAAGTATCCAATCACATCCATTGTACCTGCCAATATCTGGCACATCGTCTCCCTCACTGGTGGAAGTGAGAAATAATGTTATTTCTCCTGATGAGGCGGCCTGCTCCATGGCTTATAGATTGCTGTGTTTCAATGGCCGTGATATACATGGTCGTATACCGTAGCTGGCGTATTCAGTACAACATATGTGTATAGATCCAGCGATTGATCAATGGGAACAGCTGGTCTTGCTACAATATCAGTCACTTATAGTCCTCCCACATGATTTAATACTTCAAATATCTGAGG